TCTTTTTAGTATAGGGACCGCACTTTGAATAACTACGATAGATAATATAGATAGAGTATAACTTAGTACACTCTAGGTAGGGATTAGGAGCGTAGGAGCTGAGCTTTATAATAGCGTCACCTAAGTCACGATATCGTTAGGATCGAGGGAGTTTCAGAACCTTTAGTATAATTAGCTATAAGGAAGAAGTAAAAGGTAGAAGGGAAGGGATACGCTCACCTTAAGTACGTTAAGAGTAACGTATACGTTAAAGGAGGGAGAGGTATTACGAACTAACTATATAGGAGGCTAAGGGGAAAGATAAGAAGGAAGGTCGACTAAGGAGAATATATTAGACGCTAGTATCTTAGTAAATATATTAGCATAACCTAGCGGGGTAATAGAGCTATATACCTAGATAGGCTCAGAAATATATTAATATGTTTAATATATCTAATAGAGTAATATATTAAATATGTATCCCGAGTAGTATATAGCCGTACTTAGCTATATAGTTCTCCTCGTAATTAATAATAGTTATATAGAATCGAGTTCCTTACGATCATCTACTATACGTATAGGTCTATATACTATATACTTAGTTTTCAGTCTTAGCTACATTATCCCTCCCTACTATATCACTAAGTAAACTACCGCGGGTTTGCCTAAGGATACCTTACGTGTCAGATAGCAGCTCGTAATAAGGATGTAATCGACTAGAGGGATGTGGATAAGTAGGTAGAGTAAGAAAAGCGTGCAAGTAGTAGTCGTATGAGAGGGGGTGAGCTAACTCAACGACGATGTAGTACCTACGGAAAGCCTAGGCACAATACACGTACGTGTCAAGAGGATAAAGAAATATCCAATATATCTAGTTCTGAGTAGATTAAGTGAATTTATCTTAGGTTAGTAGTGTAATTGAATTAGATTGTCGTACGGTGGTGGTTAGGTGCGCAACTCGCTATACTACGCGACTCGCTATGCACCCACGTTATATAAGTTAAAGATTATTAGTTATCTAGGTTAAGAAGGGATAATAACCTTAATAATAAGGTAGTTCTTCTAGCTAAATATACTATAAGATATTTAAAGGTTTATATAGAACTATAATGTTTATAGATAGATAAAGGCCTAGAAGGAATAGAAATAGAGGTTCCTAAAGCCTCTCCTAATCCCTAATTAACTATAGAAGAAAGTATTAGTCGATTTTATTATAGAACTCCTAGAGAGTTAGGGCTATATAAACCTAATAGTTATTATAGATTAACTAAAGAAAGGAGTCTTACTTAAACTATTATATATAATTAAGTTAAAAGATATAGTAGGAGTCTTCCTATAGACATTCTATTAGTAATATAGATTACTATTAGTAATTATATTAGATTACGACCCCTAATTTATAAGTATACTATAGAAAAGGATCTATTAACTCTTAGATATTATATAGCGATTATCTATAGCTTACTACTTAGAGATAGATAGGTCTACTAAGCGAATAAACTAAATAGTTAAAACGTACCTTTATACGTTTATAAATGGAAAATAGGACGACTAGGTAGAACTTCTACCTATAGTAGAACTAGTAATTAATAATCGTAACGTATACTCTATAGGAGTAAGCTTATTCTTCCTACTATATAGATATTACGTTAAGCTACTTTAAATATAAGAACCCCCCTATATAGTAGAAACTCCTTAAGAACTTATATAATAAGTAGACCTTATTATATAATGACTCTAAGAGGCGAGAGAATAGGCGTAGTCTTTAATAGTTATCGCGTAGTAGGAATAGGAGGAGAGAACGAATCGAATGCGATAATAAGTACTATAATTCTAAGTTAGCGATAAGATATAGCTTAACTTAAGAAACGTACGAATAACGCGTACTAGGTAAGAAACTAGACTAGAAGAATATAAAGTATACCGTTATGGAGGTAGTGAGATCTTATAGCTACCGCCTAAATACCCTATTAAGTATTTATAATATCTTCTACTTAGATCTCCTTTATACGGCCTTAATAGACTCTCTTAACTTATAGAGAATAGACGATAACTAGTCTACGCTAGTGATAGTTAGAGACGATGAAGAATACGAGGTGGAGGCGATCCTAGAAGATAAGGTTATACGAAGAGGAAGAGGATCCTAGAAGTAATATCTAGTGAAATAGACTAGATATACCGAACTAATGTAGGAACTGGCCGACGCGCTATAAGACTCTACCGCGCTAGATACGTACGAGGCTTCCTAGGTAAGTATAGAGGGAGGGAGGGGGTGATATAATAGGTTAAACCTAGGAGAAGGCTTAGTTCTAGCGAACTAGCGCTAAGACTAACGCTAGGAAATACTACCTCCTGATTAGTTAAGATTTACCTATATAATAGATAGGCGAAATGCTACCTCCTGATTAGTTAAGACGTATACGGTATAAGGGATATAAAGTCCTAATAGCTAAGACACCGTACGTAAGGGAAGGTAAGGAGTTAGAATAAGTACGTAAGGGAAGGTAAGGAGCTAGAATAAGTACGTAAGGGAAGGAGTAAGGAGGTGAGGATAATAGTTACCTCCTTACGGTGCGTTAGAGGATATAAGGAGAAAGGAAGGATAGCTATTCCTTCCTTCTCTCTCCTCAGATTTATCCTCCTTATTACTAGGTTAGCTAGCTAGTTATAGAACTCTTTCTAAACCCTCACACTCTTCGCGTATTTTATTCTCTACTAGGTAAAGCTAACGTATTATCTTACTGTTCAGAGGACATAGAGTAGATTGGCTCATAGGATCGTACCCTTTTAGGTAATGTACGTGACTGTTAGGAAGCTTAGTTAAGTTAACTATCTGAGAGGAGAGAACGCTCTTATATAGATAAAGGAAACACTACTAGATAGTGATAGAAGTACCTCGAAGGTAGATTTCTAATCACTATTAGTAATCAATCACGTTATAGTAACGCCACCCTTAACGCCACCGCCTATATCACGTGATCTAGTATAGACTAGTAGCGTTAACTAGTCACGTGATAAGACGCTAGGCCTAATTAGGCCATACGCCTAAATGGCGATATTCTACACTTACGATAAGTATACTAACTATTCGTAGGTGACGGATTCATCCCCGGTATGTTTATTTAGGTAAGGAAGGAGGTGTCTAAATGCGAAGGTGGAATAATCTAACCGATAAGAGACTCTAGAGGTTATTTTCTGATGTACTACTCTAGATTTGCGGAATTAGCCTGATCTTAAATGAAACTCACCGTAACTACGCCCCCTTCTAACTTATAGCTCTATAACGGTACATAGTTATATATGATTAGCTATTATAGTATTAGGCGTAAAGCCCCTACCTAGTCGCGTCCTATTTTCTATATAGAATCTAGTGGCCGTTCAAAATCTATTAAATCCGGGAAAACCCATATACATAATCTATAGTAGGTGCTAAGTATAGTTATAGTACTTAAAGAGGCTAACGGGGCTTTAGTGCGTTCAAACGATAGGCCATTCTCGCCACTAACGATAGGCCTTTCTTCTGAAGTAACGATCGGCCTTATTTCTCTCCTTATAATGTGCCTACCGGCGCTTATATGGGTAGTGCGATTCGCTCGCGGGCGGCATCCCATCACGGGAGGTGAATTTAAACTGCCATGCCCTACTACTGCTGTTCTATTAATTGACATTGCCCTAGGACTACGCCTTGCCCCCTACTTTCCCCGCAACCGACTCGGTGGATATCGCCAAAACCCCGGCTTTTCAGGTCTTGAATTCCAACTTTAGGCGGGTACGATACACTATGTCGTAGGTCGGCAAACGCTTGGCTTTAAGCTGTCGTTAAACTACTGACTGATCTCTAGCTCTAAGATAATACCGTTATTTACACATCGATTAGGACATCGATCGTCGGTAATTATGCCAGAGGAGGAGTACTTTGCCGGTAGACAATTTGAAGATGAAATTCAGGTCGAGGGTAGAACGAAAGGAGTGACGAAGCGCTTACAGTGAGCACAATCCTGCAAGGGTGGCTGTGATTCCGGGCACCCCTGGGTCTCGGGTCGAGGACGAGGTGTAATTAGCTTGGCTTGCTTCACGAAGAAACAGTTGAACATCTCAGGCTTCGAGGAAATGGGGCATGAGAGGAACGTCCAGGCAAACATAGCAAGGCAGATAGAAATAGTCATGTGATATATGATAAGGCTGTGCCGTCATGTGACATATGACATGCTTTATGAAACTGCTGCCACTATGAGAGACGCAGGGATAGGGAGGTGTCCACGACCGCAGGTCTTGGTCCAGCCCATTATGTTTCCTGTCTCTCGATTGTATTCGACGACGAGGACACGTTGCTTTCTTAGCATCGATCACTCCCATCAAGCACTAACATTGCGGTCCCTAGTTAGTGCCGGACATCTTCAGGACCCTGTGAAGGCCTGCTCTCTGGTGTCCGCGGCTGGCTCGAAGCACAATACCTGAGCATTGACCAATGCTCTCTCTGGCGCTCACGGAAACCCAAAGTCCTCCCGTCAATCCTGCTTCCGGTGATCTTCACGGAGCAACAACGAACGACGGAAATAGGAATAGGTAATGGACATTGGAGGACGGTGATTTTGGGGTGTGACGCGGGCCTGCGCAGGGCTGCTAGTGATATTATATACCTCGAACTGTGTTTTATCCCCGACTATTTTCGATCAGGAAAGGGAGTGAGGCCGCGTTGAAGGGGCTGCCGGGGTTTGTGGCTGATGGGCGGCCGGAGCAGCAAGTGTGATATATCGTAATCACGTTGGTGGAGAGGCGGCGCGAGGCGGCTAGCCGGTCGAAGAAATTACTGTTGACTGGGGGAGTGTCTCACCTAGTTCACGACGCTGTGTATTGCCCCTTTGGGGCGTCTCAACGTGTACCTGAAACACCGACCCCCGGGACTTGATGGCACTGTTTGGGGGCCGGACGAGGGATTATATCAAGGGGCAGGATCGAAGAATCGGCTCCGGAGAGAGTCAAAATCAATACTCGGTACACAGAGAGGGTCGAGGCTGTTGATGGGACTGAGAAGCCTCGTCGTCGTTCCCCGCGGCTGGAAAGCTAGCGCCAGCCTGTTCACCTGCCTCTGCTTCACTGTCCTGGCTGTCAACTTCAGCGCCCTCATCTGGGCGGTGACGACGACGACGACAACGACTGATGGCGGCCTCATCCTCCGCAAGGGCGCCAACGCTCAGCAATGCGCCGCCATCCAAGACCTCGACACCTGGGGCCACCTGGTCATCAACATGCTCAGCACCCTCCTCCTGAGCGGCAGCAACTTCTGCATGCAATGCCTCTCGGCACCCACGCGCGCCGACATCAACGCCGCCCACCTGGCCGGCCGATGGCTCGACGTGGGCGTCCCCAGCCTGCACAACCTGCGCTCCATCCCGGGGAAGCGGCTGGTCCTGTGGCTCGCCCTGGGCGTGTCTTCGCTGCCCCTGCACCTGTTCTTCAACTCGGCCATCTTCACCGCGACCACTGCCAACAACTATGCCGTCTTCTCCGTCGACGAGGCTTTCCTCCAGTCGACCACGGCCACGGCCAGCCTCGACGGCTTCAACTACGCCGACGCGGGATTCATGCTTCGCAGCGGGTTTGACGCCTCCCGCCTGTCCATCCCCATCACCACCTTCGCCAACCTGTCCATCCAGCTGCGTGACGCGGCCCGTCGCGGCGACCTCGACAACCTGACGGCCACGGACTGCATCAGGGCCTACACCAAGGGCTTCCAATCGCTCTACCGCAACGTGCTCCTCGTGTCCGACCCCGTCTCGGGCTTCGACTACGAGGCCCGAGACGGCCTCTTCTGGACGGACAATGTCAACTACCTCAACTACGACAACGCCACCGACGTCGTCCCCTTTGTCTACGCCCGCTTCTACTCCGACTTCACCTGCGGCGGCTCTCAGCCCTTTGACTGGGTCTGTTCCGACAACGGCACGGCCACGGGAGTCTGCGACCGCGTGTGCGACGACCCGGCCGTTTTGAGCCAGGCCTTGTCCAACAAGACCTGGACGCCCTTTGGAGCCGATGTGTCGTATTGTCTGGCCGAGCCCTCGGAAGAGCAATGCAGCCTGCAATTCAGCGTGAGCATTGCCATTCTCGTGATTGTTCTCAACCTGGTCAAATTGACCGTCATGGCTCTGACCGTCGTCTTCGCCTTCGACAAGGACGACCCTCCCTTGCTGACCATGGGCGACGCCGTGGCTTCCTTCCTGGACAAGCCTGACGACACGTCTCAGGCCATGTGCCTGGTTCCCGCGTCGCGGGTCAAGAAACTCGGCACCCGCCTCTGGCACCGCGACTCGGCCAAACGGATCGTCGAATACCCAGGCAACCTCTACCCCAGCTGGTCCCGCGCCGTCAGCCCACGGCGTTGGGTGGTTTGCCTGCTTCTGTACATAGCCGCTCTAGCCACTGCTACCGGCTACCTCTCCACGGGCCTCCGAGCTATGGTCGGTTCCAAAACCCTCTCGTCGCTGTGGTCGATCGGGTTTGGTAGCCCCTCGGGCCGCACATTGATCACCAGCTCGGCCTCCGAGTCCGGCACCTCGTCGCTGATTGCCAACGTCGTGCTGGCCAACACTCCCCAGCTGATCCTCTCGTTGCTCTACTTCACCTACAACGGTCTGTTTACGTGTATGCTCCTCGCGCACGAATGGACAAGCTACTCCCTCAGCCGCAAATCGCTACGCGTGTCCTCGTCCCGCCCCCAGGGCACCCAACGCTCGGGCTACTTCCTCCAACTGCCCTTCCGCTTCGGCCTTCCCTTGGTCCTGTTCAGCCTCATGCTGCACTGGCTTGTCTCGCAAAGTCTCTTTGTCGTCAATGTCACCATGACCGACTATACCGGTGCCGAAGTGACCCAAGCCCCTAATTACATTCGACACCTCGTGACGTGTGGATACTCGCCCATAGCCATTCTTTTCGCCATTGTCCTGGGCAGCCTGCTGGTCCTGGCGCTCTTGACCTTTGGGCTGGGCATGAAGCTCAAGACGGGCATGCCTATTGCCGGGAGTTGCAGTCTGGCCATCGCGGCGGCGTGTCATCCTCACAACAATACCAGCGCTTCCCCCCCTGCCGATTCTTCCACCTCTGAAGCCGAGAAGATCCCCGTAAAAATCACGTCTCATGAGCCCCTCATGTGGGGAGAAGTCGAATCATTCTGGGATAATCGACTCCCTCCAACCACCGCCACCACCACCACACCCAGGCTGTCGAAACGGCCTATCCACAAACCCGCCGTGTCAAAGGCCACTCACCTCGAAGACGACGATTTCTCCGACAACAGTACCATTCTCCATGGCCAAGGCAAACGCCAGCATGCGCACCAGCACCAGCACGGCGTAGATGCTTCTGAGGAAAACTACATATATGGTCCAATTTCGACCAAGCGGAGCAAACATACTGCCACCAACAACAACGGCAGCAGCAGCAGCAGCAGCGACAACTCGTCTTCATCGACCCTCCTACTCTCCAGCACCGACCAAGACAGTCTCGGACACTGTGCCTTTTCTGCAGGCCCGGTGACGATGCCGATCAAGGGGCGTCTGTATGCATAAGCCAAGGGTTTGCTGTCACAAAGTTCTTGTCGCCGTCGAGAGCCTGAAACCGCTTCAACATTTTCAGGCGTTCCTCCTCCTCCATCTGCTCGATACCCGTCAAGTAGAATATACAAAACGCGGGAATGCTCCGACGTCTTCTCGAACTTCTTCACCATCAGTTTTTCCCCAGAGACACTGCAGCCTCTTCTCTTCGTTGTCGTTGGGAAGCTTTTCCAATTCCTTACTGATCGCGTCATAGAGCTTGGGGTGTCCTGCTCGGCGATTTGCAAGATCAGCGCCGCGAGGACGCTTTGGAGTGGCTGGGCGTCGTCTTTGACCGGTTCGAACAGAAAACACGCAATCGAGATACTTTGTCGTGCTCGCTCTGACTGGCCGGCCGCTGGGCGAGACTTTGACATTGTCTTGGATGAGATGATCGCACTTGTACGTCAGGTATGTCCTTCCTGCTCCCGAGGAACCTGAAATGTAAATGAAGAGCGAGATCTGGCCCTTGACCCACGATTTATAGACGCTTCGTCGGCCAACCACGAAAATGTCCGGGGCGCAATGTGGCTCTCGATAAGTTCCATTTGCTTCTCTATAGCGTGCTTGGCATCGACGTTGATGTTTTGTTTCTTAAAGTTCTCGGCTATCTTGTCGATCGAGAAGGGTCTCTTCGGCCCCAGCATCTGTTGAAGGTCGGAGGCCTTGAGTTTCATACTCTGGAGCGCATATATCAAGCTGCTTGGCAGTTTGTCGATTTTCTTGTCCATGCCGACCGTGACCTCGAGGATTTTGACAGGCACGGTGGCTCGAAAGAGCAGAATCGCTTTGCTGATCTGATCGCATTTCTTTTGGATCTTCTCGTTTCGTCCCTTGATGAGGGCCCACCGATACAGCCTTGAACAAGTCAAAATCCTGCCGTGAAAAGGAGGGGATAGTCAAGCCATGGAATCCATACACTTCCGGCTATGCGCCTTGAAGATTTTTGTGCTAAACTGACAAGAAGTCGAATAAGGCAAGGAAGATGTCCATCAGGCGAGTTGTGAAATGATCATTTTTGGTATGCCGCTCTTTCAGTAGAGCAAGGCCGCTTTTATCGGCCACGTAATGGAGTATCGAGAGGCCCCCGGCGTTGTGGGAGCTACGGTAGAGTACGAGCCTAAGCACTGGGCGAGCTATACCTAGGTACCTAGGAAACGCTGCCTGGCGTTCAGGCTGGTGGGCTTAGGGGCCACTTTTGGGCCTTAGCTGACCACTCAAGCCACCATTACCCTGGGTCCTCCTTAAGTTAAGCTCTAAACGCGTTACATCTTGAAACCTATCTTTCTTACACCTTCGTTGGCGCTTGCGTGGGATAGCCGCTCAGACAACCGACTGGTCGATTTAAAGACTCTGCCCCAGATTCTTTGGGCCTGTCAACATGGGCATGGAAATTCCTTCCAGGTTGCGAGGCTTGTTGTATTGTCGTTGCAAAGGAAATCAAGTACCTCGTACGGCGCCCAATAGTAATGAGGCCGTTTCGATGGCCGCCAAGCTATGCGTTGGCTCAGTCCATTAGTCGGTTGAATGTCACAGCAGCTGAAGCGGATCGTTTGGTCTCCGCAACTTTCAAACATCAGCTTCCCTCCGCCATCTTGTGTCTCCAGTTTCCTCTTCCTGCCTGGGCTATAGGTAATAGACCTATTTCGGTACCACCTATTGCCAGTCGGACGGCGCACAACAAACCTGGGCGGCAGCAGGTCAGGCCTGATCGTTCAAGCCGTAGGAAACACTGCTCATGATTTCGGACCCAGCCTGACTGAATGACTGCAGGAAAACGGCACCATTCTGCCCAAGAAGAAGCAGAGGACGGAGATACAATAGAGCACCGGCGAGAAAGTCGAAGAATAGAGGAGATCCGTTAGCTCCTTCTACTCTATACGACTTCATTACCTCGTTCCTGTGTCACTGAGCACGTTGAAACCTCCCACTGCCAGAAAAATAACCTGAGACCAAACCCCAAAGTCTCCCGCAAGAGCCTGCGATTACAAGAGAAGCAAGTTGTGAGCAAGCAACGAACTGCAAGGGCGTGACAAACGAGATCATCACAGGAACAGGAATATTTTCGGCCGGGGACTTCATTTGCATCACTTCTGCTCAGCTTTTCACACTTCACGGGCACAATTCTGAGCAATGGATCCCGTTTCGGCTGTGGGCCTTGTCTCCTCCATCCCTCAGCTAATTGCGACAACAGCGAAGGTCATTAGCTATGTGAACGACATCGAGAAGGCCCCAATTGAGCGGGCGCAAATTGCTCAGCACGCTTCGAGCCTCCTAGTGATGCCATGTCGACGTCGCGCGAGTTCTGATTGGAAAGGGGGCAGATGTTAACCAGAAAGATGCCGTAATGAGAAGATTGAGACATCGCGACCGAGAATCTCCCCTCACAGAGGATGACGACAAGGGCCACGACAGTGACGGTGACGTGTGGGAGGAAGATGGCGGAACCTCATTAATCCTAGCCGTGGAGGAGGGTCATGAGGCTCTAGTTCTCCTGCTCCTCGATAATGGGGCCGACATATCTGCAACCCAGGCACACGGCGTGACGGCGCTCCACGCGGCAGCTCGATCCGGTCATAGTAGGCTTGCGGAGATGTTGATCTCGAGAGGTATTGATATCTCAACAAAGGACGAAATGGGGAAAACCGCGTTGCACCACGCAGCAAGGTGGGGACAAGCAGAAACAGCGCAGATATTATTGAAAAGCAAAGCGAATCCACTTGCCGAGGACCATGAAGGTAACACAGCAGTCCATGAAGCTGCGGTGAGCGGGCACGAGGAAGTTCTAAAGCTATTGCTCGAACACGTGGGCAAAGGGGATGAGACCGAGCAATTGCTCGCGACTACACGACTCCGTCGGGCAGTCGACCAGGCAGAAAAGGACGAAGTGAGGTCCTTGCTGGAAAAGGGAGCAGATCCCAATTTAGTTTCCCAAACAGATCTGCCCCTGTTGCACCTCGCTATTGCGCGCGAGGACGACGACGTGCTGCAACCCCTATTGACCAACAAGGCCAGCGTCAGTATGAAAGACCGTTTCGGAAGGACTCCTTTGCACTGGGCAGCCTGTAGAGGCTACGACGTTGGCGTTCGACTCCTCCTTGAGCACGGTGCTGATATCCGAGCGGCAGATACAGATGGGGCAACACCACTCCATTGGGCAACAACATATGGAAATGCTACGGTAGTGAAGCGATTGCTCGACAATGGATCGCCACTGGATATGAAAGACAAGAATGAACAAACAGCGCTAGCTTGGTTGTTCAAACCATTCTATAATAACTACCATTATTTTATGGTTCGCGGCGGTGACGGTCTGCCCGAAGAGGAAAGAGAAGATGAGGAACAAAGGGCTAAAAGATATCTGGACATTCTTGAGCTCCTCATCGAAAGGGGAGCAGATCTAAATGAGCCTCTGCCATACTGGGGCAGCATTCTGCCATTGGCAGCCTGTTCCCACCAGGGGCTGACCAGATTAGCTCTACTGCGGCGAGTTATCGAAGCCGGGGGAGATGTGGCAGCACAGACCGAGGATGGCACGAGTTCGTTGTATCTGGCAGCAAGTGATGGCGAAATAGAGGCTGTACGACTTCTCCTGAAGCATGGAGCCGACCCCAATCAGGGAAATAAGCGTCATATATTCATTCTTGGTCGACCTGAACACCATGGGCATGGCATGACAGCACTTCACTAAGCAGCACGGGAGGGTGATGTGGAAATGGCTTACCTGCTCATCGAAGCCGGAGCCGATGTGGAAGCAGTTAATGAAGACGGGATCACGGTATTGCACGAGGCAGCCACCCACGGGCTTGGGACAGCAGCAGTCCTTGACCTTCTTCTTGCCCGAGGGGTTGATATTAACGCTCACTATGGTGACAAGAAAGCAACTGTACTCCACCATGCAGCTATGGAAGGGGATATCGCAATGGTGCAGTATCTGCTTCAACGCGGTGCTCGTATTACCGCTACTGATGTCGATGGAATGACGGCGCTTGACCGGGCGAAAGAGTTGGGCTTGGAAGCAATGGCGTTCGTTCTAGTTGGATATCGCGCACCGACGTTGGATTGTGTCCAAGGGGAACCAGGACAAAGTCCAAGTACCTAGGTATAGGTTCAAGCAATGGATGTTTTCACAATCAAAATCTTAAGTATGGCAAGGTGTTGATCGCTCCCTGTCCTCGAGTAGTGTACGCTTCTCGTAGATTAGTGCACCGTGCAGAACAGTTTCCAAATGAATCTCAACACCGCAGATTCGTCTGCGCAAGGTGGTACAAGGTGGTATATAACCGACGTTGATCGATTTCCTCAAACCCAACCTTGAGGCACAGATCATCAGGACTAGATATCGGCGTGATCGCAAGGTGCGCCTCGTCGGCAAGCACGACAACCCCATTAGGTGAATACGAGGTCTGACTAGCACCAGGCTCAGCCTTCGCTGTACTTGTAGGCTGGAGATGTTGCGAGGCAGCAGGCCTGGCTGAAATGAATAAGGGGTCAATGGGGTTAAGGGCTTAAAGCTGGGTACCTGGGTAGTCAGACCAAGGGAGCCAGATTAGGCCCCTTACCCTCGGCTCAGGGAGGCGCTCAACCACGCTCATCGAAGGCCTCAGCGAACCTAGTCGATTCCTGCCCCCATACTGCTACCTAAAATTCCTTATGCGGAGCGCTCGCGATTCCTGCTGCTTGCTTGTATGTGCAATATGTGTCCACTCTGCCGAAATCTTTTGCCTCGGGGGGTGGGGGGGCCCTACCTGTTATGTGATTGGGTTCACCATATATATTATATACACCCTGAACTGTGCCTTCCTTACCATTTTCGTTCAGCAAAGGGAGCGAGGCCGCTTTAATCGGGCATGTGACGGAGCATCGAGGAGGCCCGGCCGAGCACGGAAGAGCGTCGTGGGAGCCACTGGGCGAGCCAAAGGGAAGCGCTGCCTGATGCCTAAGCGTCTACTTGCTACTTTACTTCTCCCGAGCTGTGGAATCATCCTCTGCTGGCGTAAGACCGGCCATGAAGTAGGCGAGGCGTCATGGTGATTGAATCAGCCGCAAGAAACGGGTGTGCTAGTCTGGCTGGAAAAGGAGTTCAAGCGACTGTCACGGATACAGTAGATACAATGAGCAATTGAATAGGACGGGGGCCCAAGGGAGGTAGAAGAGAGTGACTTCGAAAGTGACTTTCGATCATGAGCGGGCAACGTAGTAGCCCTTAAACTCGAGCACTACTCGATGGCAACCATCACTCCATATCCGATCCCTCACGGTGACCCGTCAACTGGGCACTGAGGGAGGCGAGGTGCCAATCGGATTCCGTCTGAAGCTCGAATCCCAAGAACCTAGGCCGCTTCGCTGGCTTCGCGGACGACGTGGTTTGCAATTAAGATATCCATACGTCGATCCTGGTAGCATGTGTAACATCAGTGTTGGAGTGGTTGAAACGGAAGCAGCCCTTCCTTGGATATCCCGATTTGAAGTCAACTTGGTAGCACCACGGAGCAAGTTGCTCGGGTTTCAAGCTTGGGGCCAACATATTTCAATTGCTGCAGTAAACATGACTCGTATTGCCTCTGAGATGTTTCTTGAAACGTAGACCAAATCTCTGGCATCCAACACCCTTCCGACTCGGCAAGGGCGATCGTGTGGCCTGAGTCCTTGCTAATATCTTGAAGGAGATCCGTCGAAGAAGGTAACAACATGTCGGACAAAGCGGTATGGCTCTAGCCTGGCCTATTCTCTTCGTCTGTGGTCGGAGGGCGGCGTCGTCCCAAGTCGAGATGTAGTCCATCCAGAGGTACTGTTGAGGGAATCCTCCCACGCCACTTCAGCACCCGGTTTGAGAACAAGGTGACCAAGAGAGGGAGAGCGCCCATGACGGCGAAAAAGAGGAGAACACCGAGAAATGACTTGGGATTCGGCGGCAGAAAGGGCATGACCTTGCCATCCATCGAGAAGAAATTTGCAGCTAATGCAAAGGGTGATATATATAGCTGGCGAAAACGGAGCTGGTTAAATCGATGTCGCTGTGATATAAGGAAAACTTACCATCATAATGAGTGAGAGAAATTTGTTGTCATGTCCGATTTGCATGGCCCGAAGCGTCAGTCTGTTGTTCTCATGCGCGATTTGCATAGTCTCAAGCGTGAGCTTGAGACTGTCGTGACCGAGTTGCGTGGTCTCAAGCGCGAGCCTGCTGTTGAGCTTTGGCAGCAGTCAGTAACGTGCCGAAGATTTGTCGGTTGACTGACCGTCTCCGCGATTGTTTTGAGGGCTTTTTCTACTTTCTCAAGAGCCTTCTGAAGTCTCTGCAGCTCGTGAAGTTCGCCTTTCATGGCCATAAACAGTGGCCAACACAGTGGCAGCCCAGAGAAGACGCGAGAGTGGGCATCATCAGCCAGGACCCTCTCCACCTCGAAAAGGGTCTGGTTCAGCCTGTTGGCAAATTGCGCCGAGAGGTGCATGACACGGTTCACGTCATTGACCGATCGCTTAAGTGTCTGGAAGTCTTCCTTTGCTTCGCGGCTGGATTCGACAAAGGCGCTTTCGGAAACGGGGTAGCAACGGCGCTAGCCATTCATCGTCAGCTCCTTTCCAAGATATTGACAGCAAGATCATGGCACGCTCTCGTCTGGGACTTTGAAAAGCTGGCGCCACAGAAGCCTTTGCGCCACCACGGGATTGCCGAGTCCCCCCTGAAAGCTAGTGGCAACGAGGCAGTGGAAACATACCTGGTTGTGCTTGTCGACACTATTTTCCATCTTCTCCACTGCTAGTTTCCACTCACCCGTAACCTGGGCAAGCCTGGCACCAAACACTCTCAGATAGTATTCCCGCGGATCCTGGATCGGAGCATCTGCATCTGCTATTCCTATCAGAGGGTCCATGCAAGCTCCCCCGTTGATCTCGCCGTCTTCTTGATCTTGAAGAATGTCATCGCCGATGTTTTCATCATCGCCGATGAAGTACGCGTCGGTGAAGCAGTGTGCAGTCCACCGCTTGACATCCAAGCCTGCAACGACGCATGAGACCTGAGCTTCATAGAGAAATTCGGCATTGTCGGACTTGCCCCAACGAGTGAAGGACACATCCAGAGTTTGGCGAAGTGGTGTTCCATCAAGGTGATGACGGGGGTCTTCTTGTCGTGGTGCGGAGGTTTTCCAGACGTAGTAAGGTAGATGGAATTCGAGCTGAAAATTTGCCAAGTCGGTAGTCTATAGCTCCGTTACGTTAGTGACACACCATAAGAGCCAGTAACGGTGAGCAGGACCATAGGAGTGACCTGAATGAATGCCTGCCGATTGAAATAGCGATATATGGCTCCGCGAAGTGCAGTAGCTTGGTGTGGGGAAGCAGTTCGAGCCAGGGCGTAGATGCCTGAACCGTCCAAGTTCGGGATAAACCTAGTGCACAGTCAGTGAGTAGGGCTGAGGCCGGAGAGTTGGTATTGAGGTTGAACGTACACCAGGCGGCGATCTGCATCAATAGTTGCCGGAGACAATGAAGTGCTTGAGAGACAATCACTTGCCCCTGTCCATGATACGCATGCTTCTGGCGTCTTGCAGTCGTCTGCTGGATCGCAGGCGGTTGATAGGGCTGATGGAAAGCGCTAGGGAACAACCATTAGTCGACTCTCATATTTACGAATCCTGGGATTTAATGGCTTTCATCGACTCACGGGTTTTGCAAGCTCCAGATAAAGATCGAATACTGTCAAAGCCTTCCCACGGCTTCTTATGTGAATCACATCGCCCTCGAGCCGTCGTTCATCCAGCCAAGCACCAATATCTCCGTTTCCTTCAAGTGATGCAAGATTGATACCATCACAGAATTCCTGTAGTCTGTTAGCTTGCTCGCGACAACTTGGTGATGGGTTGTCCCCGCACATGAACACTCGCACTTCAGTGCCCTCCTCCAATGAGAGCCCCGCCGACACGAGTGCGTCAAGGAAGGAGGTATTTTCGACATTGAGATTGACATCATGGTGTTTTTGGGAGGCGTCGGCCCAGCCATCGTCGGAAAAGGCCGCAGGTGGCCAAGACCCCCTTGACCCATTCCCTTGTTGGACAATTCTCTTTCCATACTTCCTAGACCTCCGAAAGCCGACCTTTTTGGCCATGATGGCGATATAGACCGACGAGATGCACAACCGCGACGGCAATTTGGTGGAGGATAGCTCGCATACCAACGGGTATCTCGCCAGTGTGAGGAGTGTGAGAGCACGTATCTCATAATGGGTGACGATAGCGCACTGAGGGTCTTCCTTCCAAAGCTTCCTATAGCAATACAAAGCTGCGCCACCTCTGTCCCAGGCGGCTAGCCGGGCTAAAGTAGCAACAGAGACCATAGTTCAGCTTCATCTTGTTGCGACAGGGCGCCCAGTGCTTGTCAACGAGTGCCAGCAGGCCGGAAAGGGTTTCTTCGTCGAGAGGTTATCCTGAGACGTTGCCAGCGCAGCAAAACGTTAGCAAGGTAAAAGGCAACCGTCTACCACCGAGAGCATTTTGATCGCGCTCCAGGCTGTCACGAGGTTAGCTTGAGCGACTGGGTAGGACGCTTGGGCTGCAGCAGTCAATCGTCAGTTAGCCTATTAGCTGGCATCTGAATGCTAGGCGGTGAGGTATGAAAGGTTGGTGATGCAACGAGCACTTGCGCTTCGCACCTGGAGGATCGCTTGGTGCCAACCATGCAAGATCTCGGTTGCCCTCTGGCGCCCAACGTGGGCTTTTGGAAAGCCCAAAGCGTTAGGACGGGGCTATCAGATTGACAGGCTGTACGGAGTTCGCTGGCAGGCAGAGTCTCACTGCTGCAGCCCCAGTTCCTCGTGGGACATGTTTTCGTTGTTCTTGTGAAGAATGTGAAGGTTAGAGGTTGCCCACTTGAAGATCTGGAAACGAGGCCAAGAAATCAGACTGTCTTTCATGGCGCTTGAATACGCTGTCAAGGAAAATTTATTAGAAGTTGACGATAGAGTCTCTGTCCATTGCGACCAGATGACCCAGATCCAAATTTGCAGCTAACACTCAACGCCGCTAGGGAGCTGCTTTGCGACCCGAACGGCCCGAGGCGATGTGGCTCCACCCACCCAGGCGCCCGGATTTCTGCCCTATGCAATTTCGGCCATCCTCGACCTGCAATTCCATCGGCTCTTTGGCCTCCAACTTTTCGCACTCTGTCTTGACAATCTAGTCACAATGCACAAATGACACCCCGTACAATCCTCCTGCTGCGTATCTCCCCCAACCGCATTTCCCCAAGCCGGCTCAGAGTGCGGCCCTTGAACCAAGATGGACGACAACTTGTGGCGGATTAAGCCCACGCCCAAATTCCCGAGGCTGTCGATCCAACTGTCGACTGACTGCTGTCATCGATAATACCACGGCTGAGAAAGGCCTTAACACCCTCTGTACAGACTGACCGAGCTTGAAAGATGCGCCCTTTTAGGCATGCCAGAACCAGTTGGCCCCACGATTGCAGACGCGAGAGATAAAGCCCTGAACGTTGACGCCAATTCGAAATTTTGAACGAGGCCGTCTTCCACCAAACGCCAAAGCAACCCAATCGAAACAATCACCAACGTCTTGCTCGCTGAAAAAGACCGCGCAGACCCGAGAGTGAACAGGAAAGACGTCTCGAAGTAATGTGGGAGAAAATCCGAAAATGCTTGTGCTGGGAGCCAAAAGTTCAGTCGAAGTTCGGGAATGAGACACTGTCGAGCATGATATCGCCATGCGCATACTCTTGCGTCCAGGAAGAAAGTGGTCTCCACCGAGCTTTGGGTTGTCAACAGTTCCGGAGCAGCGTTGTCCGATCCTCGCGCAAGCACTCACATGCACGAGAACGTGCCCCTGCGCGGAAGAGACCAGCTGGACATTTTGGGAACGCACCGGGTCTTGTCCAGTTGGTCCTTTCCGCGCAGGGGCAGGTTCTTGTATAGGTGGGTACTTGTTCGTCTCATTGCGGATCTCGATTTCGTCCCTAACCCTTGGGTTGGACCACCTTCTTGCACTGACACGTGCTGCATCTCGCATGATTACAGTGAGGGCAGTTTTGCTTCTGGATGTTGATCGGGGACTGCCGGCACCGACAGCAGGTATAGACGAAGATGGCACTGGGTTTTTTCGGCTTGGGTTTGGACGGTGGCTGTAATGTTTGTCAGGTCAATTCTTTTCGTGGCGCCGATTTGGCACGAGCACCCACCATTCTCAAAGATATAGGCCATCAGGCGCAGCATCAGATGATTCTCGGCGCCAAGATCCCACGACCGCTGTTGGGACATAACCAGATGAACGAGCAACAAACCACGGGCAACAAACCACGAGCAACAAACCACTAAACGAGTGATTGCAGGTATGTATACTACAGCTCTACAAGAAAGCTCGACGGCCACCTTTCACATGGATTTCAGATATCTATCCTTGTGTCGGCAGTAAAGATATATCAGTTGAGAGATGTGAACAGATTGCTTTATTTTTCGAAGCGGTGTGCTGGACCTAAATTAGAGTGACCTCTTGGCCCGCTATGGCGCATCGGTCCGAAGCCAAACAACTATCTTAAGTTCGAAAACTCCAATACTATCCTTGCTAGTCACTGAGCGTTGTCTTGCGGTGTCATAGCGCTTCCAGTGCCCTTTCTCTCGTACAGCTTTCTTCGTTGACCAGGTGTTGTGCGACACGTAAGGGATTGATTTGATGAACAGTGCGACTGCAAACATGATGCGCCGGGCAGTCCAGTCACAGTAACCGGAGTTCAAACGGGCGGCCACGTCGCGAACATGGCATGTTGACGTCTAGCATTAGTTGCAGTCCAGTTCCGTGAGAAGCCAATTTGTCAAGGTTTCCAAATCCCTCCGAGTGTGTCCAATCTCGAGTTTGCTGGAAGATGCAAAACCTCAAATCTGTGCCAATCCCGCCTCAGAGAGAGAATTTTCAGCAAGGGAGTGACAAACGTGCTGCTTGTTGGACGACCTCGAGAACGATTCAGCAGACTAGAGGTCGCGAAGTGCATCAGCTGCTGTCAAGGAGTGGATGACAATATGTCCACGAGGAGTTGTGCTTTGCTTCGAACAAAGGCAACCATCATTTTCCAAATTTCCGAAGAGAGTGGTGTGGACAGCGACTTGTAAGAGGATGAAAGTCAACGCCAAACCCAGGAATCCTCTAATGGTAGGACGAAGGAAAGCGATCACGTTCTCCTGCATTGAGAACATACTAGCAGCCAAAGGCGAGTGGCGAAACGAGAATCTAGAATAGACGAAAGGCGTCAGCGACGGTTCCGGTGAGGCTAGCCATGACCTCCTTACCATCATTATCCACGAGAGGACCTTGGTTTTCTGGCCCGCTCGTTCGACAAGGCCTTGTTGATGTTGTGTTTGGTTGAAAGTGTTGCGAATCAGCTGAAGCTGCTCCTGGATAGCCTGATTCGTGTCCGTCTGCAATTGGAGTTGCTTCGTTAGTGCCTCCTTGGTTTTCTCATTGAGCTCAAGCTGCTTCAAGGCTCTTTCCGACATCTCTCAGGCGAGGGAAATTTGTTGTGCACTATTCTCGTTGGTTTGTTGGATGAGCAAGAGCTGTTGCCGGACTGCTTCATGGGTCTCTCTGTTCAGGGCAAGTTGTTGGCTGGCCAGTTCGGATGTCTCCCTAGCGAGCACGATCTGTTGACTTGTGTTTCGATTCGTCTCTCCGAGATGAGTTGCATCTGTTTGTTGCCAGCTTCGGTGGTTTCTAGCTCGAGATCGAGCCGACGCTACAACACGTCAGCACATTGACAAGCAAATCAAGCCCCGCTCCTCCGACTGCAGGGTGCGCTTTCGATACTTCCGAGAGGACAACTATCCAGCCCCCTGATTTTGCCAAGTAGGTCACCGTAATCTCCCTTACGGCGGGCGCTGGGACAAACAAAGAGCCCTTGACGGATGGGAGACGCACGATATAAGGAGGAGACTGAGCCGCTCGTCTCCTTCTTCCCTTTCCTCCAGATTTCTCCTCTTTGTTACTCTTTGCCCAAACCCTCACATCTATAGTGTATTAAGATAGTAATATCAGGACTTTTAAGCCTTTTGCATACGTTTGAAGCCCTCTAAAGCCCCTTAGAGCCTTCCCTCGGTCCTTGTCCCTGACAGAGAGGGAGAGGAAGAGAGGATAGTAAGAAGAAAAAGAAAAAGAAAAAGAAAAAGAAAAAGAAAAAGAAAAAGAAAAAGAAAAAGAAAAAGAAAAAGAGGAAGAGGAAGAGAAGTATCGTCCTACAGAACCGGGGGGTCTAGTTGACCCCGTCTAGCAACGTATAGTAGCAGGGCATCCTCTCAGGGATCCCACCTCTCATCAGGGCCGAGACGCGCCCTCATTAATGCTGCCGGGTAAAGTTGTTACAAGGCTGGGTGCCTACAACGTGGGCGCGAGTAATACTGGAGCCAAAACGGGAGCCTCGCCAGCGCGTGAGGCATAGGGAGGAGGCGACGGAGCGCAGCAAGAGTAGGCCGCAGCGAAGGGGAGCGGAAGAGAGTGGATGGGGAGCCAGAAAGAGAGGAAGGGAGTGGAAGAGAGCGGACAAGGGAGCGAGTCGAGTAAATAGTCGTTAGCGCGGGATATATATAATCCCCGAGCAGTCGTCGCCAAGGGTCATTTCGCTGACTTATCCCCCGCCGCTTTACTCTCCCGCTAACGACTATTTAGTCGAATCGCTCCCTCGTCTACTCTCTTCCACTCTTTCGTTCTCCTCCTCTACTCCCTTCTACTTTCTCACGGCTCTGTACGCCCCTGAAGCAGGCTGTAGAACCGGTAACTGGGTCGATTGCCTTTTGATTGGTTCCCAATGGCGTCATTGACTAGTTGCAGACACCCCATGCTGGGCACCTCAGCTGCGCCACCGTATCTGTACGTTGGATTAGTACCCTCCCAAGATACCAGTGCTCGCAACCAATTTACCCGCGGTTTCAAAAATTGCAAACGTCTCGGCAGCATCCTTCTTCTCACAAACCTACCTTAAGTATTATAAAGGGTTCGTCAATTTCTGTGTTTACTTTGAATATGTTTAGCAGGTACCCTGGTATACATGTCTTCGTGAATCTTTGATGATCCAGCAGATAATGCTTGGTACCTTTGGGGACTCCCGTCCACTCTTTTCAGCCTTGCTATGCTGCTTACTTCGATCCCAAAACTCATCTACACGTCCTCAAAACGATCATTAGATCTTGTACTCAGAGAAGTGTGTCGCAAGCGCGGCTACTATGGCTGAGCGCTCACGTTATACCGCCAAAGACTATGTGGTCGGCTGGATTTGTGCTTTGGCAGTGGAGCTAGCCGCATCGGCCGCCATGTTCGACGAGGAGCATGACAACGCAATGTTAGACTCGGATGACGATAACTTTTATGCATTTGGTAGGATGGCTGGGCATAATGTTGTCATCGCCTGCCTAGAGTCTGGTCGAATCGGTTTGGTTTCAGCAGCCCACGTCGCAGTTGCAATGAAATCCACCTTCCGAATGTTAAGGTTTGGCCTGATGGTCGGCATTGGAGCCGGTGTCCCAAGTAATGAGCATGATATTCGTTTGGGGGATGTAGTTGTGAGTCGACCGTTCGGAAAATTCAATGGTGTGGTTCAGTACGACATGGGCAAAACAACAACCGGGAACCAAGTTGTGCGGACTGGTGCTATGAACTCGCCGCCTCGGGTACTTCTTACAGCAACGACCGCCATGGAAGCTGATTCTTTTAAAGATCGGCTCAAGGTTCCGGAATATTTGAAGCAAATTGGGACTGAGTTCCCCAAGTTTGCATTTCCTGCAAATGTGGAAGACAGCTTGTATGAGCCAGATTCTATCCATGTTGGTGGACCGACATGCAAAAACTGCAAGGCTGGGCTCATCGAACGCGAAGAACGCAATAATACCAATGTCGTCATTCACTACGGAACCATAGCGTCCGGAAATCAGGTTATGAAGAATGGCGTGACGAGGGATCAACTTAGTCAGGAGCTCGGGATCATTCTTTGTTTCGAAATGGAAGCAGCAGGACTAATGAACACTTTTCCCTGCACCGTTGTCCGTGGTATATGCGATTATGCTGACTCGCACAAGAACAAAAAATGGCAGCCATACGCTGCAGCTGCCGCCGCCGCGGTTGCGAAGGAGCTTTTGAGGCATGTGAGACCGGCCGAGATCAAGGAAGCAAAAACAATCAATCATATTATGAATGATGTCATCCCAACCTTGACACGAGCGATGGCCACAGCCGAAAGTCTTCGGCAAGGTGAGCGCGATAACGCCCTGGCTGCTCATTAACTAAACATTTCCAGATGAGAGAGACGAAAAGGCTCTCGAGTGGCTTTCTGATATCAACTTCTCCGCGGCTCAAAACACCGTCTACACTTCTCGAACTGCCGGGACAGGAGAGTGGTTGTTTGTAGACCAAAACTATATTGCCTGGCGTGACTCTCACAGGGGTCTACTCTGGCTCTATGGACCCGGTAAGTTTGTCAGTGTTCATAATGGACCCTCGTTAACTGTCACAGCCGGATGTGGGAAATCTGTATTAACGTAAGTGGACATATCTACTTTGATAATTGGGCTGGTTCTCTTACCATGTCGCCTAGGTCTGCGATCGTCAATGACCTCAAAAGGATATGCGCCCTCGATGACACCAAGATAGTAGCCTACTGGTACTTCCAATTCAGTAACACCGCCACTCATGACCTTTCCCAGATGATCCGATGTCTCCTTCGGCAACTGAGTTCAACTCCGCTTTCATCAGCGATTCTCGACTTGTGGCTCCGGCACAAACTACGCGGAAGCCAGCCTTCATTATCAGAGCTCGTTGCTGCGCTTGATAAAGTGATTCAAGATTTTAAGCAGAAGATATTTGTTGTTTTAGACGCTCTGGATGAATGTCCTCAGAGTGAGAGGACGCATTTACTGGATTTCATCTCGCATTTCGCCCAATCAAAGTTCGAAAATTTGTGCATTCTCGCGACTAGTCGTGCTGAGCCTGATATTCGCGACGCAATGCGGAAAGCGACTCCCAGATATATGGACATTGGCCAGCGGATGAAGAGCGATATCACCAAGCACGTCAGAATTGCTCTCTCAAACCAAACACTGGCAAGATGGGGACCTAGAGCCGTGTCTCTTATGGAGAACGAGCTCTTATTAAGCGACGAAACGTAAGCTCCTCTAATGAGAACCACTATGAAATCTGATGGTGAATAGGCGATTTCGGTGGGCTGATTTACAAATCCGACGTTTGCTGTTATGCACGACAGAGGACCGAATCTGGTCTGCCTTGAAGACTGTTCCGCGAACTTTAGAAGAGACTTATGCGGCAGCCCTAGAACGCATAGAGGAAGATGACAGAGAATCTGTTCAAAAAATCCTTATGTGGCTTGCATTTAGTGCTCGCGAGTTGACACTGAACGAGGTAGCTGCAGTCGCAGGATTCAGGTTCTCGGAAGATGTCTTGCGCATTTGTACCAGCCTCCTGGTGACTATCATTGACACTTACTCGGGCGAAGTTGTAAAACTTGGTCACTTCTCAGTCAAGGAATTTCTTGTCTGCCGACATCTAGAGGATAAGGCACTTGAGTGGTTCAATTTTTCTGGCCATCTTGCCAACGCCAAAATTGCTTCCATGAGCCTTTCGGCGCTCCTCGGCAGAGACCAGTGGGCTACTGTGCAAGGCGAGTCCTCGCGCTTTGGCAAACACCTCTCGAAGTACGCAGCAGAATTTTGGCCTTCGCATGTCCGTGAGACAGATGATTCTCCAGATATGATGGAGATACAGAGTCAGATAAATCTCCTTTTCACTTCTTCCGCAGATGGACCATACCAGCAGTGGCTTGGTATTCATGATCCAGAAACTCGATACAACCGGACTTTTGAGAAAACCAGTCGCACTGCCAAAGATTTTCCCCAGCCTCTCTACACGGCGGCCTTGTTAGGCCTGAGAGCTACTGTGGAACATCTTTTCCGTGATGGTACCCAACTGTCAAAATCTGAAGGGAGATTCAGAAACGCGCTGGGTGCAGCCGCCGTTTCGGGGAGCCTCGATGTTGTCAAATTTCTGATGCCGCACTACGATTTCACGACCGAGATCCTGAATATTTCGCACGTCTTTCGGGAGTTGCGCGAGAACATCCGCCCAGTCTTGGCAGTGTTTTTGGATGCGGAAGCAGGACTGATATTAAATAAAACAGTTTTCGAAGCAACCATGGATAACGTCGCCCGTGAAGAAATCCTTGATGTTCTGCTTCGGAGACTTGAGACGATGCTGGACCGGAACGAGCTAAGGGTCGAAAGCATGACAACGCTGCTGGAAACGGCGGCAGGATACACAAACCTCAAGTTCCCCAATGGTCTTGTTCCTTTGTTGAATTTGATTCTGAACCACTGGAGTTCAAACGTTTCGGTCCCTGAAATGGTGGTGAAGGCCGCCGCCTTGTCGTACTCCTTCGGCAACAACTCGATCGAACATCTGCTGAAAAGGAAAGCGTCATCTATTCATATCAGCGAAGATATCTTACGAGCTTTTCGAGGGAAATACGAACTTGATTCGATCTGGGAATTGATACTGACGCCAAACGGCCCATCCATCAGTTTTACGGACGCTGTCTTTCAGGCAGCTCTGGAAAACTCCAATGGGGAACGGCTGCTAGCAATCGTACCTGCCACCGAAGACGCGAGGATTGCCGTCACTGAGGTTACACTTCAGCTAGCAATTCAAAAAGGAGAGTTGATGTTGCTGATCAAATACCGACGAAAACTACGCCTCAGCATGTCTGAGGATTTCCTCATTTCTGCCCTTGGGGCAGCCGGGGAAGAAGAAGGCTTGGAAATGATAGAGTGGCTTACTGAAAAATCTGACTCGGAAGTCCGCATTAGCAAAAGCATATTGGCGTCAGCTGTCCAGAATGATCGAATCAACGAGAAAACAATGAGACGATTGCTGGATCGATGTGGGCCAGCTGTCCCTTTCACCGAAGAGATGCTTTATTCACCTCCTCGGCCACTTTTCTTCGAGAAGGAACGGGCATTCGAGTCTGCTCGTCGAAGACTCTTCCATGACGACAAGAAGATCAGGTGGCTGCTTGGCCAAAAAGAATGGAGCGGCTCTGTAACCGAAAGCTTGCTGAAGATAGCCGCAAGCATTGCGAGCCCGCAAGTGATGCAAATACTGCTCGATCGTTCAGACCCTCCTAGCCGTATCACAGAAGAGGTACTCCAGGCAGCAGTGGATCCTCTCAACCCACCGATGGTGAAGCTGCTGCTAAGACAACCGAAGCTTGATGCCAAAACGGTACCAGAGATGCTATTTGTCCAAGTGCTCGGAGATTTTGATGGTGATCCAGAGCTGGTACAACTTCTGGCAAAGAATTTCCGCCCTAGGGCCCGAAATTCGCAATTAATAATCGCGAAAGCGGCCGCAACGAGCGGTGTCGAGGCCAATCTCGTTGCTCTACGGGAAAATTGCGACACCGAGGCCCTCCCTCCTCAAATTCTCTCTATTTTCCATCTGCATCGAGCAGCCAGGACCGGAGACACGACATTAGCATCGGACGCATTGGCTACTGGCGTTGATCCCGACATCAAAGACATTTTGGGAAGATCTCCCTTGGCGAAAACTTGTATTTCGAGCCACGCTGCAATAGCTCGTCAGCTTTTGGCAAGTCCGAGAGTGGATGTCAACCTAAGAGACAATAAGGGTCGTACACCGATTTTTTACGCAGTCCAGTTGGGGTCGTTGGAGTTAACAGAACTCCTTTTGCAGGCGGGCGCGGACCTGGATATTGAAGATGACGACGGCGACACGCCTCTGAGTATTGCAGCCTTTGATTCATGGCGTGAAATTAGCCTCCTGGGAAGGTTGCAAAAGCATCGAGCGAAGATCAACAATGAGCCAGCTTTCGCCGACTTCTTCTAGAACAACAGGCCCCTGAACATGGTGCTAGTCAAGAGGAGAACAGCTACTACTGCTACAGTATTGTGATAAGATCAAGAAGCAAAAGACTACTACCTCTGTACACGGTACTCGATTGTGCGTGGCCTTATACTATGTCACCTCCACAATCACTCTGAACGGAATGTACTTTCCCTGCTCCTAGATATAGCTATTAGTAAGAAACGTATACGAAGAAATAATACCGATAGTAAAGGTATAGATAGTTCGGTAGACCAATATTCTCAAAATTAACTTCGCTCTAGGCGAGGATTGTCACGGCCGGCCATAGCCTTCCCTTGGAGCCGCTAAGCCATCCTGGGAAGTGCCAAGAGCGCACGCCCTATTCCTACTAATCGCAGGCTGGGAGCAACCTAAGGGGTTGACTCTCCCAAGAACCTGGATAATCTGTGTTTTACACCTCCTATAGCTACCATGTATCAGTTGGCTCGCAGCCTGTATCGCTATATCTACCGGTGGCCCCTAGGGAGCCCTCACAAGGATAATTTAAAGCCTTCGAAAAAGGTGCGAATAAATACGACTAAAAAGCGTACTCGAAATATAATAGAAAACTTTAGTAACGGTAAGTTTACGGCTAGATCGCTTATAGCGTTATATTAACTATTTCTAGACGGATAAATAGGAAGTTCTTCTAAGAAAGCTCGTCTACATAGATAGAAGATAGAAGCTACTAAAGTATTTAAAGAACTCGATATACTATTAAAGATAACCGTTAAAGGATTAAAGTAAAGTTAATTCTAGAGCTAGTAAGATAAGATAATATAAGGAAAAGTTTAGGCGAAGAATACTCGATAATAGTGAACTAGGGCGAGGCTTCTAGCCATAGGCGCCAACTCATACGGCGGTAGGTAATAGGTATGTTTACATCTTATAAAGTAGTTAATTAATTATGTTCTTATTTTTCTATCTACCTAGGCGAATAATAAAAGAAAAGACTACTAAGCTAAAGCGGTACCCTCGAACTGACTAATTAGAGAGTAGTAACGTCTATCTGTATAATATATAGCTAAAAGTTGACTAATCACCTTACTCGCTCGCCTTGTATCTCAGGTCCTCTCCAAACCTTTCCTATTATAATAGAGAATAAAGAATTCTATAAGTTCTAAATATATGGGAACCTTTAAAGACTCAGGGTTATGCTCATAGTGCTTCAGTACTAGGTAAGCCGACTTCAGGATTGCACAGCCATAGCTCAGAATGGCTCAGTCACGATACGGGTCAAATAGCGAGATGCTCAGGTTTAAGAAACGGAAATGGACTTTAGAGAGGTCAAGATTCGCCGCTGAGTATAGTGGTGTAGGCTTATAGTCGAGGCCTAAAGGGGGCCCCTGAGCCCGAACTGGCTTCTGAGAATGGGTATCAGACAAGCTCCCTACGGCTCGTCTAGTGCTCGGGCGCGTTCCCCCTTACTCTGCCGTGGCTCCTGCGACGCTCTCCCGTGCTCGGCCGGGCATCCGTCACGTGCCCGAGTAAAGCGGCCTCACTCCCTTTCCTGAACGAAAATGGTAAGGGACAAAGCACAGTTCGGGGCATATATAATGTATATATATATAACCCCTAGCTCGCCCCGTGTCCTGCACCCAATCCTCGATTATCTTTTCATCTTGTGCCATGATGCTATCATCTTAACTTTTCTTATTCAGGCGTCTAACGATCGGCTAGCCGGACTGCCTATCGTTACTCATCAGTCTTGGCTGACACTTCGGTGTGCCTTGTCTACTTTGGCTGGCCAATGTCACCATGTGGAGGACGGTTGATTGAGGTTATCGAGTTGTGTCACAAGACTCTGCTGGGTTGAATGCCATTGTCAAAATCATGGCCGTGAATTTACCCTAGGGTGGGATCTCTCGAGAAACTTGACCTCCTCTTGTGTAGGAATAACAAGTCCCTGGGACCGTGAGACCTCTGATACCGCTAGTCTGCACAAAGTTCAGCATATAGATGGGTCAAGCAGATCAGCTCGTTTTCCTGTCTACCGACCAGACTAGTGCTCTTCCTCGGGCCTTTAGAAGTAGTTATGGCTGTTAACAACGTCGACTCAATGAGTAATTTGAGCTGTCAATTTGCATGGTTCTAAGTGTTCTCAACTGTCCCGAAGTATTAAACAAGTGCAGTTCCACTGACACTCCCTTGATTGGCTGTATCGCTATTGGACGAGGCCGACCAATTGACACGCACCAGCTCGTCACTGCGGGTCAGTTGGCCATACTTTTGCTGCAACTCCGCTTTGAAAATCAAACCGGAGCAACTGTCAATCCACGGCAATAGACATCTCGGTCGCACGATGTCCCATCGAACAACAATCAGACGCTGCAGGCATGAAGATCAATGCTTGAGAAATTTTCCAACTAGGCGCTTGCTGGAATGATGGCGGGCAAAGCGGTATCTCGGTCAACGCCTAGAACCCGCACTGGTTGTCTCACTTGCAAGTAAGTGCCAATGGCAAATGATGTTTTACTTGGGCTGATGTAGGCCTCTCTAGGTCCAGGTACTCAATACTGCAACTGGATATAGTCACTGGTCTACTCACAATGCAGCAGGCACATTAAGTGTGACGAGAAAAAACCATCCTGTCAACAGTGTCTATCCTCAAAGCGAATATGCGGCGGATATGTGGCGGCACCGGCTTCCCTTTCTTCTGCATCTCAGGTACTGAATGATGAGGAGAGACGAGCGATTCTTTTCTTTCAGACGAGAACAGCACACAAAATTTTTGGCCAAGAGGACGCAAACGACTGGATTCCCGTTCTCCTGCGGCTCGGCCACACCGAACCAGCCATCAAACATGCCCTCGTTGCCCTTGCGTCACTCCACGAAAGTCTCGAACCTGTCGATGGGTTTGTTCTGACTCGCAAGCCTCGAGAGCACTTCCACCATGCTACGCAGCTGGTGGCTCTCAAGCATTACAATAATGCAATTCGGTGCCTACGAACGGAGCCTTTGGCGATGTCTTCTCGACCTGACGTAGTCATGGTCCTTTGCATCCTATTCGTGTGTCTCGAACAATTTCGCATCAACGATGCAGCATGCGTCCTCCATCTAAGCGCAGGCACCAAGCTTATCTCTTCGTGGAGACTGCAAACCGACTCCTATACCAAACTTCGGAGCTTCTCCAAGCCAACCGCGGAATTGATGAATGAGAGAATAACGCCCATCCTACAACGGCTACGTGTTCAGTTCGCGTTATGTATGGATCTTCGACATGCATTGAGGGATATCGGAAATCGTCCCTGCATACCTCGGCCAGCTATCCCTTCGTCGTATTCATCGCTGGACAATGCACGCAGAGGCTTTGATTGTGTAATGAATTATATTCTCTCGGCGATGGATAATTCTTTAACTACAGGAGGCGAGATACCAAAACACGATCTCGCAGCGACTTTGAGATGCTGGAAACAGGCCACGGACACGTGCTTGCCACGCAGTCAAAGCTCACTACCTCAAATATGCGTCCACAAGTTATTATCGCTCTATTATCACATGTCTACCATCATAATCGGCACGTACGCAACAACCTCCGAAGCAGCTTTTGACGAGTATACGCACCTATTTGAAATGATCACCAGCCTATTCGACGAGCTCCTCCAGCACTGGAACGCCACGCAGCACCAGTATAGCCTATTGTTCAGTTTCGATCTCGGAATCACCCCGCCCATGTTTTTTGTCGCATCTCGCTGTCGGCATCCGCAGATTCGTCGAAAAGCAGTTGACTTCATGCTACTCTCTCCCTTCTACCATGGTATATGGCCGGATCGATATTCGGGACTTTGTGCACAACGTATTGTTGAAATTGAGGAGCGTGGTCTAGAGGCTGCCGGAGATTCCTTGCATGTCCCTGAACACCGGCGCATACGAAAAGTGTCTGCAGACCTGCAACAAGAAAATGACCAGATTGTTATGCAGTACGTGCGCTCACCGTTCGGGCCCAGTTCGGAGATCCAGACAACGTTCATTCCACTGAGAATGTAAAAAAATCGGAAAGACCCACTATGTATTTCTTCCCAGGTCTCAATCGAAGCCGAAGTCTACTAGCACTTGCAACCCCGCAGCCTTTACGCACATGCTTCAGTGTGAACATTGAGATGGCATTACCAAAGAGACACGAGCAAAGACAATGATAAATGGGAGGAGCACGCAAGCTTGGAACTTTCATAGCGGCGCCTCTGTCCGTCACTTTCGATTTTCTCGACTTTATCTTGACAGTCACATCCGAAGCCCGGAGACAGCCTACCAGAACCGTGTCTATGCCAGTGCTGTGACATCCATTTCCAGCGGACATCCGACAGGGAGTTTGGTAACCTGAACTGAGGTGCGAGCTGGCTTGGAAACAAAATACTGGCCAAAGACCTCGTTGACTGCCTGGAAATCGTTGAGATCCTCAAAATAAATCTGACGTTGCCGTCAGTGGCTACCGTCGAAGAGAATGACAATTGAGGACACACTACGTGGGCTAACCAGGAAATAAAGGACCCTGAGAGGAGGAATCGGCTGGTGCTTACCGTCACTTTCACCACCTTCTCCAAACTTGACCCAGCGGCCTCGAGAACAAGCTTGGTGTTTTGGCACATTCTGTGCGCCTTCTCCGAGATGGTACCTGGGACAACCTTCGCTTGTCTATCGGTTGGGACTTGACCTGCGAGGAAGACAAAGCCGGCGGCTTTGATGGCTTGAGACTGCGGCAATCGAGTCTGAATTAGATACTGCCTAAACACCGCACGCCGCGAGCAAAAAGAAGTCCTACATATGGGCCAATTGCTGGTGGAGGGTTGTCAGCGAGAAACAGAATCAGTGATGAGGGGAACATACGGTGAACACCCTCTTCTGTGAAGATGATTTCCAGGTCCGTGTTGGCCATCCCGTTTTGCTATTTTGCGATACTCTTAGAGCAGACCAGCTTGATGTGTCAGAGAACAGCCCACAGAGATACCCTTCAGCTTATATAGACATCGGTTCGAAAGCCTTTCAACTGAGACCGGTGTCACTTATTGGCTACGCCGGATAACTTCTATTCCATGCCATTCAGCTGATTCTCTCTGGTGCCACTGTACGCCCGGGTGCTTGGAAATCATCCGCCCTGAGAAGCACCGGGCATCAAGATTACCCCTGGGGCGAGATACAGGGTTAGATTTACGGGCTCTCCCATTCTCTAGCGCTGCAAATGGTCGTCCGCGGTACGTTCTAAGATGGTCGGCGTACCTGTTCAGGACTGGTGAGACCGAGACCATGGCGTCCATCGCACGTAATTCCACTAGTGCGAGATCATAACAGCATCGGCTTCCACGGTGGCCACCCAGTCGCTCTTCCGGATCTAGTGAAAGAGAGGTGGGCTTGTGGTGGGGATCAACTGTCGAGGTTGTATTGCGAACGAGCACCCTTGGCCTCGAGAATCACATCTATTGGCCACCCCGGGCTGAATATGCTTTACCCAATGAAAACTGATGCCACAATGTAGCGCTCGTCACTCGAGACATCGCCCTGTGGCTCCTTCGCATGTACGTAGGAATCGACAGGAATCAGATGCGGATGGAAGGTCGTAGAGAGGCCTGTCCTTGCATACTGGTATCTTCACTGCTTCCTGATTTTCAGAGACTGATCAGAATACAACCACGAACTTCTTGCAAAGTGCTTTCCCTTCATCTCACCCACTTACCGGTACTAGGTCTGTCTTGCACTGTCGAGGCGTTTCGACTCCGGCGTTTTCTTCCCTCTCCTTGATTCGCTTCCCTGATACTCTGTGGCGGACTCACATTCAAGTATTCACAGATCCGCTCCCTCATGACCTGGCTTTGACGCCCCAAATGACGAGGACTGTCGGCCTGATCGGCGGGTTCTCGTGGCAGACCACGGCCATCTACTACGAGGAAATCAACAAGCATGTCAACGCCCAACGTGGAGGCATACACTCCGCCAATCTGCTCATCAGGTCCATCGATTACGCAGAACTCGCCTCGATGGTCGGCGCAAAGGACGACGCCGGCATGGCCCAGCTCCTCTGCCGATGCGGCGTCGAGCTCCGAGCAGCCAACGCCCAGGCCTTGGTTCTCTGCGCCAACGTGGCCCACAAGGCCGCTGAAAAGCTGGAGCAGGTAACGGGGCTGCCCGTGCTGCACATTGTTGACTTCACGGCCCGGAGGATCGTGGACCAGGGCTTCAAGACGGTCGGATTGCTCGCGACGCGGGCGGTCATGGAGGAGGAATTCTACGTCCGTCGGCTCCGGCGGTTTGGGTTGGAGGTCGTAGTGCCCGACAGAGAGTTCCGCGCCGATGCCGACCGTATGATCTTCCAAGACATGAGCAAGCCTGAGATTCCAGAGCCCGTCAAGGCCAGATGGCACGCGGCTTACGAGTGGCTGCTGAAGAACCACAAGGTCGATTGCATCGTGTTGGGATGTACTGAGCTCCGACTCGTCTTCGGACCCGAAGACTTGACGGCGCCCACGTTCGAGACAACCACGGTGCATGCGCGAGGGATTGCAGAGTGGGCATTAAGAGAAGATGGACCGAGTTAGACGTTGTCTCGGGACATCTTATACGAATAACTATACAGGCGATAATATTGCAGCCCAGAGTTTTCTCCGCCTCGTCATGTTCCAGCTTCAATCTCGTCGTTCAAGATCATGCCTCGTCTTCCACCTCGCGTGCCATCATCTGTACCACTCCACGGCCCAGGAGCCGCTTCTCTCCATCGCCATAACCGCTGTAGTTCTTGATCGAGTTCGCCGTCAATTGCATCCACGACCTTGTCTCCAATGACGGGCAGGACTTTAAAACCATGGCCACTGTCGCCGGTCACGAGAAACAGATCCTGGTAGTGAGGGTGATAATCGATCAGAAAGTCTCCTGTCGGTCTAATCACGACAGTCAGCTCGTCTCGCCCCAGTGGAAAGCGCCGTGAAGGTTTCAGAAACATACGTGTCGCAATACCAACAAAGCCTCGTCTTTGTGACTTGCTTATCCTTCCAATGTGGGAATAGTTCGAGCAGAAATTCTTTGCAGGCTGTTTCCGCTTCCGCAGGGATAGGTAAGTCGGGTCGTGGAACGCTGACCAGTACGTCTTTCCCCTCCAGGTGCATCGATGTGGGATTTTGATATCCGTATCCATGGCGGCCCCATTTCAGCTCGCCATTGTGCGCAGGAACCATGAACATGCCGCGACTCATGTTGAAGTATATAGGCATCGGACTCAACGTTTGTTGTTCGGCTTCCGTCAGAGTGATGTATGACAAAACCTGTCCCGTGGCCACTGCGCGACCGTGGAAATCAATCAGCGATGGAGTCCATGCTCCTGCTGCCAGAATGGTGAGGTCCGCATAAAGGTGAGTGCCACCTTCGATCTCCACGCCTGAACAGCGAAGTGGTGATCCATGGCCCTCGTAAAGTAGTTGACGGACCTTTGAGGCGGGTTTGACCTCAACGCGGTCTCGCCAGACCTGTTCCAGCTTCTCGTAGAGGTACTTGACAACCGCCTCAGCGTTGACCCAGCCACATTTGTCGTTCATATAACCAAAATCTCCGCTGGTGCCGGGGAAACCTGACGCACCTTTGATTGCCTCCTTATTCGGAAGCTCCTTGATGTCGTTCAAGGAGAAGTCGTAGTCGCCAGAGCGGGCCAGGTCCTTGACGTTGGCCAGGCTTTCTTCCAGGTACCCATCAACGTGGCCATCAACTCCTGGCTGCGACGTAAGCAGGAGCGGTGCATCATGGTATCGACCTGCACCGCCCCATGCATCGCTGCTCACATCGTTCCAGTATTTCCAGGCTTGAGACACGAGTTTCGTGTATGCTTTTTCTGCATAGTCGGCGCGCAAGATTCGGCTTGTGTCCCAGGATGCGGCAGATCGGTTGGGAAATTTGGGAGAAGCGTCCACAATCGCGATGGCTGTGTTGGAGTATTTCGGGCGTTGCAGAAGGGATATGGCGGTGCTGACGCCCAGAGCGCCTCCCCCAACAATGAGGATGGTTGAGGGTTGCGGTCGAGACTGAGGCATGTTTGGGTGCTATCTCCAGCAAAGTGGCACCATTGGGTCCTGGGGCCATGTATATCTCTGGTCAACAACCGGCACGCCCTTTGGGAGAACGAAGCGTTATGTATAGTGGCTCTATGTCTGCAATGTGAAGCGACAAACACGCCAAAGAGTCTGATCTGGGCGATGGCTCCTCTGCTCTCCTGCATGATCAAGGTCCTTGGTGCTCCATCGGCGAGGGCTAGTGGGCTTCAGGCCCTGACAGACCTTCTCATCGTGGCCAAAACCACATTCGGTTCCCGCCGTCTATTGGCCACATCGGCATCATAGTCACCAAGCGAATCGGGCAGTCCGGGCTGATCTCGTCAAGTATCGTGAAAAGCCCCACATGTTTTGGTGTTCGTGCGTAGCTTGTTCATTCGACTTCCGTGCAAGCAGCAGCACTACAACGTACGCTCAACTGATCAATCGTCTAACTGATTGATTCACTATAGTCAACTTAACTTGAAGTTGCAGGTCAAATTCCCGCTGGACTTGGAGATGGACTTTGCCTCAATGGCAAGAACGCTAACCTACATATGGAATCTCCTCTACCTGTACAGTGGGTCTCAGGCGCTCGCCAGACCTTCCTGCCAGGGTTGCAACAAACTACTCGGTCAAGGCGGTACGACACATCCTTGAAAACTGAGCCGCTGAATACAAATCCCACGTTATACAAGACATGGGTGTACGGAGTAGCTAGAAGATGCTGATTCATCGATCGTTGCGACAAAGTGAAGCGTTATCAACGTTGAATGGCTATGAATCGAGTTCAGCCTTTCCATCAATCATAGGCGGAGATCAATCCCACCTGGACTCCCCTTGTTTGGAAGCTATGCTCCAAATTCCCGCACAGTCTCATCCGACTAAAGATTCCTGAGCGCAATGTCACGATCTGAAGCCTGCGACGCTGGTCCGCTCCCTTGATGGTCTTCCCATTTCACATTCCTGACAGAAGCTTCCTGTTGACGAAGTCGACGCTTCTGCTGGCTCCGACGCCACATGAGAAAGATTACACCGAGGAAGGCAGCAACTCCCACCACGGTGCCGACCACAATACCGGCAATAGCGCCTCCTGACAGACCTGAAGACGATGATTCCGTGCCTTCCGTGACTCCCGAAGTTGCAGTTGCTCCAGCTGCCGAAGCCGAAGAACTGGAGTCAGGGTCAGAGTCGGTAAGGTTGAAATCATCGACAGTGGCATTGAAGCATGGCACTTGGTAGGTAAATTGACTGGTCGGCACGTAAGTAACATCAGCGCATGCATAGTACGTCTCATTTCGGTCGTCTTCAAAGTCCGAAGTATAACGGATTTGCAATGTTGCGTTTGAGAGAGCCTCAATGTCTGCTGACGGGTTGGGAAGTGGGTAGCACTGATGCCCCTCATTGAGTTCTGGGATTCTGGTGGCGGCTATCACGATCTCGAAGTCATCGTTGGACGTCGGATCTAGCTGGTTCGTCAGCTAGGATCTAAGAAGTATTCGGCGCGTCACCACTTCACCCACCGTTTTTATGAGAGATCGCTACTTGGATGGACCAGGACTCGTCTTGAGCGACAAGCGCGATTTGACCGTTGACTGGTGCAAATTAGCATGCATACTCTGGACTTGACACTGACTTACGCAGAGGAAACTCGGTTCTGTTCGTAACCGATGCGGCCGAACCGCAGGGCGCTGTATTATCCTGAGCAGCACCCCATTCACGATCAGGTGGCCACAGGAAGGCGACTGGACCCATTGTCTTCTCGTATTCCTCTCCATGCTCTTGGGCAAGGGCGTATTCCGCCACAAGAGCGCAGCACCAGATCAGAACGGACGAGACGAAGTACATGTTATTTATCTCAGAACGCTGCGAGCCAAAGTTTCATACCCTTAAGGACAGAGTTATGTGTCGGTTTTCCTCTGAGACCAAAACTGGCTTCCGAAGACAAGACAAAATGCACTGCACCTTAATCACACCACCATCGGCGAGGAATAGGGAAGATCGGTGGGAAGATATAGTGCAAGCTGTGCAAGTCACAAGAGAAACCAACGAGCGCTTGGCCGGGCACTTTCCCAAGCGCTCCAAGCTGCGAGACCATTTAGTCTGCTGGATGGAGAGACAGACAGAAGCAGGTGGAGTCCCCTCGAAACACTCCCTCTGCATACGAAGCGAGGAATCCGACGAAGCGTACAACAATGGCCATACAAGGAGCCCATCGCCACACCCAAGCCGAGCCGCCATCTAATCAGACAAGATAGATGCCGATATCGGGCCTTGTCAGACAAAATATTGAGCTCTTTTTGCGCTTTAAAAAAAAAAGCCATCGACTGTCAGACCGGCAATCATCTCGATCAGATAAGATAAATTGCTCAGTCCAAGATCGACGGCGTGCTTGGCTTGTGCTGGGCATTCGGTCTACCGGCTGCGCGGCTCAGGAAACAGAACCAAATGGTGCAGCCAAGCATTGACGCAGAGCCAACCGGTCGACTGCTTTCCTCTGGCCGTGTCATGAGCGGGTGGTCGTATTTCTCGCGACATCCGCTTTGAATGCGAAGGTTTCCCCATAGCATGGTGGGATGGGACCTCGCTTGGAGCGCCTCCAGCTCGGCCTGGAAATGAGAAGATAGGACGCTATGTCGGCAATGGTACATCATTTTACTGGAGCTCTATGTCTATATGGAATAGGCCTCTCCCTCTCTTTGTGGCCTCCTCGCCCAGACTTGTGCCTTCGATTTCCAGACTTTGCATCTTCAGCCTGGTCTGTTACACCTTGATCAACACCATGCGTTACCTTTTCCTGTCCGTAATGGCTCTGGCCGTTGCTTCAGCTTCAGCTTCTCTTATGTATCCGAGCTCTTTTCCTGTCCACCGGCGACAAGAACCTGGAACGCCTGAATACGACTGTCATGCAAACTGGTGGGTTGCGCATTACATGTCCGTTTTAGCACAACTGACACAGAACACAGTGGCACCGTCATTGTCGATGGTAGAACCGAGGGATATTGCGAGTCTGCAAACTTCACCACCGCACTCCAAGCTTGCCTTGACTGCGCTCTCGAATTCGATATCTGGCAGTACTATGGTGACAGTGTCGCCGCGGCCGCGACGGCGTGTGGGCTCGACGCGACGCCGGTGCCTGCAAATGCCACTTCGGCAACGAACAGCAGAGCCACCACCACCGAGTCAACTTCGATGGCAACTTCGGCCACTTCCCCTCCAAGCACAGAGGCCACGTCTTCAGCGTCAACAACGGCTTCATCGGTCGACACGGCTTCGGTGACGGCTGGAGAGACCATGAGCGAGGTGAGTCGTCGAGAAATGGAGAACATAAGGGCGGTTCAATTGACGAGTTTTGTTCGTACCAGACTCCAAGCGAAACCAGTTCTGCAGCAATTGCCACCGACACCGGGAACTTTGCCCACAGAATCGCACTTGGTGGTGGACAGGCGGCGTTACCTTTGGTAGCGCTGCTTCCTGGATTGCTCTGAATCAAAGGCCAAGGTTGGAGGTTGAGGGAGCTATTCCATCACTTACGAGGCATTCAGGGCGGAAAACAGGAGTTTCCCATATCCTCTGCCTCCCCCTGGCAAAATTGATGTCTGCAGACGATTATCTGTCCCTCGCACCATCTTCAATATTCAAAAACGCAGTTTTTCCCGTGCCAGGTTATTGATTGAGATCTTTGTTCCCTCGTTTTGCTTCGTTTGCTTGCTTCCCATACTTGGGTCAGATACCACCACTCCCTAAATACCGGCTGATGCGAGGCACCAATTGAACAGACCTTGCTCTTCCAGTGTTGGTCAGGCAACAAGGCTCGCTCTCATATCAAACACCTCTCGGGGACGATGAGGCGGTTCTTTGTCCCGGTCCAATATACCACCGCACAGAAAGGGTTCATTGTGCTGAAAGGCGTCGAAAGATAGAATTCTTTGTGACGGTGAGAAAGCATCAAGAGGTCGCTGCGAGTCTTTATGACAATGGAACACAAAGACGGCATTATGGCTCAGGGGACTGACTCTATGTACCTTTCTTTCCCTTTCCTCTCCCCTTCTTCTTATCGAAAGGCGTTCATCCCCCAGCGTGCTCGAGCTCTCGCCACATTCTCTTTTCAAAACGTGCCTCTGTGCAACAAGGTAACTCAACCCGTACGCTTTGAAGTGCTAAGCAACAAACCCAAGACCTCCCAAACACATACCATCAACCATGCCATTCAGGTTCTCGGAACTCTCCAAGAGAGGTAAGTCCAGAGGAACCACCTCTTTTGAAGCAGATGCGATCGCCGCCCCTCCTTCATGGCCAGTGACTGCCGGTGGATATAGCAGTCACTACGACTTCCATCCCAGTGGACCTCTTCCACCACCACCACCACCTCCTCCTCCTCCTCCACCGCCGCCGCGGCCGATGGTGCCGGATCGAGGAGACGCCTCCACGCCAGCCAGCATCTGCTACGACAACGGCACGGGCAGGCTGCACGCCAGCTTCGTGCAGGAGCAGGGCCTGCCGGCGCACGTGCGCACGACCGAGCAGCTGGCCGCGTTCATCCGGAGCCAGCGGCACAATGGCGACAACAACAACGACAACAGGGACGGACACTGGGCTCCCTCGCCCGTCCGGTCCTCCTCCTCCTCGTCGTCGCATTACTCCACGGACCACCGCTCGTCCGCCACGGCATTCTATCATCACGTCCCAGGCTCGTACGAGCGCCTCCGCCCGGCGGCGGCGGCCTACGGCGCCAGAACAGCTGCAGACCCCGTCGTGGTGGCGGGCATCCGGCACCGCTATGGCGCGCGGCTGGTCGTGCGCCTCCTGCCCGGCGCGACGCGCGCACACGAGTACCAGGGCTTCTGGCTGGCACGCGGGACGATGCGCAAGACAGGGTCCGAGACCAAGGGCTCCAAGAAGTCGTCGGCCCGAAAGAGTGGCCGGAGGGACAATCAGGTAGAGTCTAGCGGTTGGTATGATGACTGATGGATGGATGAATGGACGGATGGATGGCCTAGATGGGATGTCTTTTTGGGGACAAAAAAAGCTTCGAATTCATTGCTCTCCCTGGTGAACAGTGACAGACCGATAGAACACATAATTAAACACCATCACCACGCCTTGTCGTCTAGAAACTTTCAAAATGCTCAGTTATGGAATCTTTCCCCTGGCTCTCGTCTCACTCCTTTTTGTGAGCAGGCCAACCCACTGTGTAGATGAGAGTGGCAGGGTGTGTGGTCTCTGCCCATTCCTCAGCGCTGAGCACCGGCGGGTAGCATTCGCAAATAACCTTCGTTCTCAAGGCTGGTGCACCACAGCTTGCCGTCGATATACCTTTCGAGGAGCCATCCACATCCCCGCCTGCACTTTTTGAATCCCTTGCTTCGCTTCAGCTCCACACTGGCGAGCCAGTTCAACTTCAGGCTCCCTGCCTCGTACCCAATATTCAAATACATTGCATGACTTTTCCGATCAGTATCCAGTTCCACGGCGCTCGTATCAAATTGTGGCTCCCTTTCAGTCAGAGACCTTTGGCATTAAACTGATCCACCCTCAAGGTCGTCTATGTTCTCTTTCCGTGCACGTGATGAGCAAGGAAATGGGGGGCTTAGAGCATGGGTTTGATGTTGTCGGCGACCTTGAAAGGCGCCTCGGTCTTGGCCTTGATCTCGTCGACGGTGACACCGTCCGCGAGCTCAATGAGCGTCAGGCCGTCCGTGAAGTCCACATCGAAGACACACTGTGGGTAAAAGCTCAGGTCAGTATTGGGTTAAACGAGGCTTCCTTCCGCCGCCTGGTTCAAAAAGAAAGAGGGGATAGAGGGCAACTCACCAATTCCGTGATGATTCTCGAGACACATGCTCTTCCGGTCAGAGGGAACTCGCACTGCTTCAGGATCTTGGGATTTCCCTTCTTGTCCGTGTGCTCCATCAAAGCCACCACTCGGGTCTTCTCTGGGTTGCTCACCAAATCCATCGCTCCACCGAAGCCCTTGACCTTCCCGGGCAACATCCAGTTCGCTAGGTCACCCTTCGCGGAAACCTGCATTGCGCCCAGCATCGACATGTTGATGCGCCCCGAGCGGATCATACCGAAAGACTCCTCTGATCCGAAGCATGAAGCGCCAGGGAGCAAAGTGACGGTTTCCTTTCCAGCGTTGATGAGATCTGGATCTTCCTCACCCTTTCGCGGGTATGGGCCCAGGCCGAGGATACCGTTCTCAGATTGTAACTGGACTTCAACTGAAGCATCCACGAAGGATGGGGCCAACATAGGCATGCCAATACCCAAGTTGGCGTACATGCCGTTTTGGAATTCCTTCGCAGCACGTCTCACGATTTGCTCGCGCTTCGATGCGGCATCGCCCTTTCCAAGACTGTCTTTGACGTCGGCGCCCTCTTCCTTGCGGTTGACGTATTTCTCAATCTTCTTCTCGGCGGTCGCCTGTACCACCTTGCTCACATAGATACCCGGCAAATGCACCGCGACCGGGTCAATCTCGCCGACCTCGACGATATGTTCGGCTTCCACAATGGTAACTTTAGCATTCCTGCCCATGGCACCGTTGAAGTTGTTTGCTGCGAGGCGGAATTGGCAGTTCCCGAGCTTGTCGGCCTTGTACGCTTTCACGAACGCGTAGTCGCCGGCGATCGCTTCCTCCATGACATAGGACTTGCCATTGAAAACCTTGACGTCCCTGGGTTTTCCGAATTGTGCAATGCTGCCATCCTTGTTGTGCCTCAGTGGGATCTCACCCGTCTGCACGACTGTGCCAAACGCAGCCGGTGTGTAGAATGCGGGGATTCCTTTGCCTCCCGCCGCACAGCGTTCGGCCAAAGTTCCCTGGGGTGTCAGTTCCAACTCCATCTCTCCCGTCAGGTACATCTGCTCCAGCACTTTATTCTCGCCAACGTAGCTGGCGATCATTTTCCTCACTTGCTTGGTCTCCAAGAGCTGACCGAGGCCGGCACCTGGGATGCCGGCATTGTTGGAGACCGCGGTTAGACCGGTGATGGACGGTGTTTTCGCAACCTCGTCAATCAGAGTGTCGGGCACGCCGCAGAGTCCAAAGCCACCACATAGAAGGGTAGAGTTGGACTTCATGTCCTTGATCGCCTCGGCGGCCGAGGGGACGACTTTATTGATTTCATGGCGACGTAGGGTCGAGGAGAACGAACGAGCGAAGAGGAGGTTTTGCTGTTGGGAGTCGAACGGAAAAAGCTGTCAATGGGGGTGTCCTTGAACGACTGCTGGGGCTCGCTTTTGCTTGTGGTGTTCTCACTCACCTTCCCTTGATCGCGGGTAAAGTACCTCGCTGTTCGCCAACTTCTCGATGCGTGTGAGGGGATGCGGAGAGAGGACTCGAGGAAAGACGACATGATGAAGACCTGATGTTTCACTCACTCTCGGCGAGAGATGCAACTAAGCATTCGCTGAAGTCCCGGCGAAGAAGAACCTTGTAAAATGTCACACACACACAAAGTGAAGGGACCAAAATCACAAAGCAACAGCAACGGGGTGCAGGGGCAGTGAGAGGAGTTGAGAAGCCGACATGCTCAGCAGGTCGGCGTGTTTAAAGCGGAGACAGCATTGACAACGCGGGATCGGTAAAGCACCCCGGAATCATTACCGCTGGATGAAGGCAGACCAGGGACACGGTACGGATCCGATGGAGAAGAACGAGGAGAGGATGCCCGCGGACATATTGGCACAGCGCACGGAATGCCAGGCGACCGGGGGGCGAGGGTGCCAAGGGGCACACGGGCTTGGTGGCTACTCGCAGGCCCAAGGTACTCCCTAACAAGGAGGAAGTAGGTGGCAGGGTCCCCCAGCTACAGGTTGGGGCGGTTAGGTGAACCTTTCCGATGCTCTTAAGCAGCTCGGATCCGGGGCGTGAGCATCGCCTGGGCGGGAGAAGACATAGCCAGCAGGCGCCGAGATCCCCTCTTACGCTCCCACCCTTTCCCCGAGAACTCCCGTAGAAATCCCCATCCGATGCACTAAGGTAGAAAGGATTTGCTTAGCAAGAAACGACTGCCACACACCCATGGACCCGTGCATTTCAAAAGTTCAGGTCACCATTGTTCTACCACATATCTCGTCAAGGGTATCTTTGACATCATGCTGACTCGTTGCTAGATATACTCAAGTGTCCAATATGGAATAAATACAACCAAATCGTGCGTCAATCGCAGGACTTTTGAAGACAACCGGTTCCCGCCAACGCCATGCTCTCTCGTTCGGCCAGAATGCCGATTGTGCAATTTCGTTATACAATCAGGTGAAACAAATGTCCCAATCTATGCCCTGGAATGAAGCCTCAAACTTCATGGTCCACGCTCATTTCTTCTGAAGAGTCGTCATTGGGATCATTGGCAAAGTCAGCGTCGGCGTCGTTGGAAGCGACACTCCAGCTCGCTCCGGCAGTGGCTGCAAGGCTCCCACTCATGGTCCTGCCCAGTTCATTCGTGGCACCGGGAATTGGGATCCTGGCTCGTGCCGCTTCCAACACTCCCAGAGACGAACTTGCAACCGATGCATCGTCGTCACCACCTTGTCGTTCATTTGAACTCGACGACCATTGCCACAAAAACCCAGCCGGCGCAGGGGAATATTCCGCCTCCGAGGACTCATCGCTGTCCTCGTCGTCATAGTATCCTTTCCCCGCACTGGACGATGAGCTTGCCGTGAAGAAGACGTAGCTGGGTGGTGGCAGCCGCGAAGGTTGTAGAGTCAGCCTACGGCAATTGGCAACTTGGTAGGTGTATCTTGCAGGTCCCTTCTGCCGAATTGATCTCTTACCGCCCCCATTGTCGAGCCTCTGCCGCTTTCTTGCAATCTGGACGTCGAGCGCAAAATTGTCTTCCGGCCGAACACCTCCTACACCAGAAGCTTCAAACTCAATCGGCACTGTCTCGTCCTCCCCTGCAGACATGATTGGCGTAAGCTGCATGTGTATCTCCGGACAATTTTGAGGCCAGGTGCTGCGCACTGGTGGCCAGGGAGAAAGAAAATAACAAGCTTTGGCGTCCCGCAGAGTGTCGTCTACCAGTGGCCGCTTCTTGTCGATACCCAACGTATCTCGGACCCCTTTAAACCCGCTCACGCTAGCGTTTGTGGGAGACTTGTCGCCACTGAGATCTGTGAAGAAGTGAGGGTTGCTGAAGAACGTCATATACCCTTCGTAGCCATCTTCCTTGGGTTTCAAGCTTGATCGGCTGAAGGCGCGGACCAGGCCAGTAGAGTTGGGCGACTTGCCATCATGCGAACTCGACGAATCCAAGTATGAGTTTTTGGCCTTCAAAAGAGACCTCTTCCCTTGGAAGACGATGGGTTTGTACTCGAACGCAGAGGTCGACTTAGATAGGCTTGTTGACGGCTGGTCGACGACATGATTTGACGACGTTGTCGCAGAATTCACTAGGTTGGAGGTGCCGCTCATCTTTCCCCTCAGCACTTTGTCTTCTGAAAGCGAGATAGAGTTTGAGGCTTCATTGAGAGTACTCGTAGCACTTCTGCCGCTCTGACGTCCAGCATCGTCGCCAGTGTCCTCGGAGGAGCGCTGAGGTGCCCCGTCTGGACTCTGTTGTTGGCCATAACCAGTTGGCAGGGTACGCCCGATCCATCGTATTTTGTGTCCATCCTTCGATAGCTCGAACTTGGTACTCAGGTGTTTGACAGCCTTGCGAATAAAGGCGGGCGTCACATTGAGCGTGTGCAGCTGAGCCATGCTGACAAGCAGATTCAGATACAACCAGGGTTGCTCTCTGTCGTCGTCGTCGTTGTCGTCGAATTGCGGCGATGACAAGCCAAGATGTCGAATATACTCAATATTGTCAGCGGCGACTTGCGCACGATGAATGTCAAGATCCAATGGTCGGGTGGGCCGTTGATCTGGGGAGCCGGGGGATTCCGAGGCTGGGACAGTTCTTCCCTCCGCAGAAGGGTGCTCGGATCCGGATTGATTCCCCAGGGGTTGACTACTAGCCTCCATACCGTCGAAGATGATCTTGGAGTCGTGAGGAAGAATATGAGCTTCACGAGTGCCCTCGATTCTCAATGCACGATTCAGCCTCTGATCCTCGCGCCGATCAGCCTTGGCGGCGGAACGAGAAATCTTCTGTTGCTGGATGGGCAGGCTGTGCTCACCCGGCGCAGCCCTCTTTCCAGTGAAGAGCTGCTCCAACCTCTGCACCACCAACGCCATCTTCGCATTCTCACTAACAGAGCTGGTGTTTCTCGGGAACAGCGAATCTGGAATATCGTGCAGATAGTTTTCGATGTCGGTTTCCTTTTTGCTCATTGACACAGGCTCGCGTAGTCGAAGACCGCTGGACTGCGAAGCTGAGTGCATTCCCGAATTTGAGATAGAGGCATAGCCTGAGTCAGTATTATTAGGATCTTGTGGCCCTTTCAGGGCCGGAATGGCGGCGTATCCGGTACTTGACGCGGACTTTTCGACCGGGCCCGATGAACTTGGTTGTGACGCAGAGTCGCCAGTGAGGCCAGTGGCAAACTTTTTCAGGAGGTCTTCCAATTCCCTCTTCTTTTCGGCCGGCAGTCCATGCAAACGGACTTCCACCACTCTATCTGGATTACTGCTGGTGGGACTTGACCGAGCTTGCCAATTCCTCAGGAGATGCTTCAACTTCTTGTTCTCCACGGTGAGGTCGTCAATGACACCTCGCAACTCATCGTTCTCGTTGTCGTCTCTGGGCCGTGGGCCGAAACTCTCTGCATTGTGCGAGCGGAGATTCTTGGACTGCTGATAACTGGCCTGATGGGCGAGGTAGAAAGGAGATTCATCTATCGCACGTTAGCAAAGGCGGTGGGCGACAGGGACGGTGAGAGTAGAAGATCGGCCTACTCTCTTGTGATCCTCTTTTGTTCTGGGAATCGACGACGTTCTCGTTTTTGCTCGCGAACCATTTGGCCGCACTCTGGTCACTGCTCGAGTCACGACTTTCTCCTTGCGGAACACTCGGAACAATCTCTTCCTGAGCGGGCGACGGCTTCGCTCCTGACACATCAGGTTTGTGATCAATCTTGACCTTCTTATTGCGCGGCAGCGACTTGGACTGAGACGGGTGGACACGGCGGGGATTACTACTGCTTGTCGACGAGTGCGCCCTCTTAGGTGACGGTGCCGATGATATTGGGGAGTCGTGCATGTTGCGACATCGCTCTCGCGCCGTGGTGGGAGGGTGCGTGGTCAATCAGGTAATTCAAGAGTGGTATACTCGTTATCGCTCTTGCGTAAAGGGCGGTTTGGTGGGTCTTTCGGTGGTCGTCTTGTACAGGGGGATTGTGAGGCGCCTGTTCGGATAGCGTATTCGTAGGATTGGCTAGGTGGCCACGAGGCTTCGGTAGACGAGATCGAAATTGAAACGCGGCGAGGAGGGCTTTGCTGGTTTTACACAGCGTCGATGATGATCGGAAGCAGGTGAGAAGCAAGAAACCATGGCCATGCCAGGTGAAGGCATGGCGCTCCCCATCGTTGCTTCCCGCAGCGCCAGGTGGGCAGGTGGTGCGTGGTAATGGTATGAGCGAAGTATTTGTTTGGCTCGATCTCCAGAGCCTTGGAGGGAAGGGTGGGAAGGGCACACAGATCGGGCGCCGCCATATTGAATCGTTGAAATCGCAGACGAAGCTGGAAATCAGTGCCAAGCGTCAGCACCTGATGTGTCCGGCGCCGGGCCGAATGTGGTTCTAGGAGTCTGCCACGGTCTGCCATGATCTGGACCTTGCGACGCGATCGGCCAAACTGCAAAGAATCTGGAACCTTCGGGCCGTCCAATCGTCGATTTGGTCCCCCTTCTTCCCGCATCGTGATCGCCCCTGTCATCATTCCTCAGCTGCGAGCTGCGACATATTGTTCCCTCACGGTCCCAGGCCAGAACGTTCGAGGTCGCGGTGATCATGTTCGATTGCGTTATTGCTAAAGGGTCTGAGGGTCTGCAGAAGATAGTGGCTGCTATGACGAGCATCCAAATCGGAGATGGACAGGTGTCGATGAAAGATTGGGACTTCCTCAAACGGGTGGTCTCACATGCCTGGTACCTCTGGCTGCAGGCTTCGTCTCGCCACTGGAAAATTCATCCAGCCACAGACGCCCATCGTCGATCCCAATCCCAGACACGGGCTCGTGCCACGTTCCAACACTTCGGTGTGCTTGACTTGTCATCTTGATCGACAGGGCCTCGCTGTAGCCGAGCTGTGCGCCGTACGTCTAGTTGTAGAGTACGAGGTAGCCATGGTTGAATTCGAGAAGCACCATGGAGGTTGGCGGATGATGCTGTTTGGGCATGAACTCCCAACGGGGCCTCGTCACGTGTCTTCATTCACGTGCATCGAAGCCCCTAAGGAACAACGATATTCCGGCAGAGTTTCGGAAAATCCGTCTCGGGCAACCTTGAGCCCCGCTGTGCGACCTATTTGCGTGTATGATGTCATTACTCGGTACTACCCTCTCTTGCTAGTTCAGGTACCTACAAGTACGTACCAGCCACTACGGGATATACTAGCATCTTGGAAATATACACTATATGCAACGGACCGGGGCTCAGATAGTCTTCAGCCGCGGTAAATACATGGCTGCATCCAAGCTAGGACCAACAACCTTTCTTCCGACAAATTTCTGGCGATCCACGCCCTGTGCCTCAAGAGCCCAACAATGTCCTGTCTGGGGGGGGGGGGGCGATCAAGGCTGGGAAAAAATCTCGAAGCTTATCTAGCTCCCCCTGGGCAGCCAATTGACAACAATAAATGCTGCTGAGGAGAGCTTTGTGACTGGGCGGTCAAGCCCGCTTTCTTCGCCCATTGCTACTCTGACAGTTTTTCATGGCCACTAGTAACTTGACAGCCATTGGATCACTCATGTGGTCGACCATTAAGCATTGCAGCAGCAATCAACCATGTCGCCTTGTGTTGCTTGTTTGGTGCTATTCGTCATACCCATCCTAACACCCCATCACGACTCCGTCCTGCGGGAGATCGCCGGCGATGGCGTTTTCGCCGCTTGCCCAGTTATATAGCAATTTTTTTTTTCCTGAGCTTAGCAGAGGCTCTGACGGAATGATCGAAGTGACCTTTGACATCGTCCCAAAGTGTAGTCAACATGTCCGTCGCCAATGCCGGCATCATAGCCGCTGCCACCGCACCAGAGGCAGAAGATCCCAAGAGGGATGTTGAAGTCAACAGCCCCGGCGATCTTGAGGAGGAAGACCGGCCGGTCGCCCCAGATCAATTCGATCCGAAATATGAGACTTCGAAATGGGAGCGTTGGGCCTATTAGTGAGATCGCTTCACGTCCCACCGAGCGTGTCGACTTGGGATGAAGCTGCCAATGGATTGTCACTGACAGAGGCCCAGTTGCTACTACATCGGAAACAATGGATTGACCCTCTTCAATTTTGCGCCGACGTCATTTCAGGACCTGCTGTACGAGGCTGCTGGTGACAGCGAGAGACTGCAATTCTTGGGCGCCTACCGGACCATCAACAGCATCGTCTTACTTGCCAACGGCATCTCCTTTGCCATTCAAGTAGTCTTGTTTCTGTTGATTGGGAGTCTGGCAGACTACGGGAAATGGCGGCCGTACGTGCTCGTCTTCTGGTCGATTGTTGCTTTCGCGTTAGGCTTTGGCTGGCTCGGAATCCACACGCAAGACAAATGGCCGGCTGCCACGGGGCTGTACATGATCGGTCTGATTAGCTATCAGATGTGTATCACCTTCTGGACAGCGGGTAAGCAACAGTTCCAGCGCCGTTCCCATGAGATTGTAACGGCCCTAATGAGACATTGTCCAGCTTTTCCGGGGCTCGCAAGGAATACGCCTGAAATGAGGGAGAAGGCGGTGCAATATGAGAACAGAGAGATCAGCAGAGACGAGTATGACTTTGCCGACATGATGGAGCGGAATCGCATTTACAACGTCGCATTCATCATGCAGAGTGCTGGGGAAATCGTCATTCTTGCCGTGCTAGGTGAGTATCCTTGGTTGAGTGCAAGTGATGCCCGCGATCTGTGAACCTCTCTTCGATCACGGAGTCCGAGATTGAGACTTCTACCGGACCAACATGGGTCAATGATGCTAACATGCTGGTTCTGGTAGTGGGAATCCTGTTCGCCTTGGACGTCAACGCCAGCGCCGCGAACAATCTGTGGGGCCTGTCAGTTCTCATTGCCTATGCAACCGGTGTTTGGATCGTGCTTGCGATTCCCTGGTTCATCCTGGAGAAGAGACGACCTGGGCAACAACTGCCTCCCGGAACGAACATCGTCAGTGTTGGCTTCTGGAATATTTGGCGTGCCTTGGTGCAAATCTGGGAGCTCAAGCAGAGCTTGCTCTATCTTGTCGGTGAGTGTCCCTCGCGCCCCCAAGCTATGAGATTCGTCGGACTAATGCAGATTTCAGGATATTTCCTGCTGGGCGATTCGCTGAACACAACGGTTACCGTAATCGCTACTCTGCAAAACTCGGTTGTCTCGTACAACACGTTGACATTGACCTACCTGCTCATCGTGGGAATTGCGGCTCAGGGTGCAGGCATTCTCGCTTACTGGCTCATACAAAAGCGCTACGGACTCAGCACCAAAACCATGTTTGACGCTGTTATGATTGGAATTCTGCTCCTTGACGGTTGGGGCATGATCGGGATATGGACGCAGTCGTTCGGTTTCCACCACGAATGGGAATTCTGGGTATACCAAGCCTTCTACGGCTTGTTTGTGTGCCAGTGGTACGCCTACTCTCAGACGATGATAAGCGAGGTTACTCCCCGCGGCAAAGGTAAGGCATCTCGTGTCTTTGGGAGGCCATTTTGCAATCCGACGATATTCTTGACATTAGTTTAATCGCGATTTCCACAAACTAACTCGGATTTACAGAGTTTTTGTTCTTCAGTCTTTACTCCATCATGGGGAAGACAAGCGCATTTATAGGGCCGATTGTGAGCAGCGCCATTATCGACGCGGATCCGAAGGGGAACAATAGTCTGCCTTTCTATTTCCTGTTTGGACTCACTGGGTTGAGTTTCCTGTTGTTGTTCTTTTTCGTGGATTTGAAGAAGAGCAGGGCGGAGCAGGAAAGGTTTTTGCAAAGGGAGGAGGCCGCGAAACAACGCCGTGCAAGCATCATCAGTCAAGGAAGACCGATTGACGACGAGGGGAGCTTCGATGGCGACAGCAAAGCCGCCCAGAAGAGCGACGAAATCAAGTCATGAATTTCGGGGGGAAAGTGTGGACGTGGCGGATGATATACGAACCCGTGGCAGCCAGCTGATCCTGGCGGCTACGGTTGGAAAGCAGGTGAAGCGGACTGGGGATGATGTTCTCTGTGGTCTACCTGCAGTTTTGGTCGTGACGAACGCATGCTTTGGGAGTTCAAATGAATTAACCCAGGTGGATGCGTGCCATCGTACGAGTATACTCGTCGACCTGAGCCGGCATTCGGCCCTGTCACAACCCACTTGATTACGCCACCTGTTGGGATAGAAATCCTTGCAACAAGGCCTCTTCACGCGGACGATGTCGAGCAGCAGAGTCGTAACAACCCATGGTCCAAAGGGACACCCAGGACCTTTGGTCCACCTCGCTTCCCTTTCGTCGTGAAACTGACCGAGAACCAGCAGAATTGAACGAAGTCACCCAAGACACAAGCAACCATGAGTCTAGACCAGGAACATGAAGGTGAGTACCCTTCGGAAAAGTTCTGCTGCAACAAGGGCGCGGTTGATGTCACGCTGGTGACGCCCTTGGACAAAACGACCAGCCAAAAAGGGAAAGTCCTTCCTCCAAGAGGAACGACACGTGACCTACTTACCCAGACAAGCAGTGGCAGAGATACCAGTATTATTAGTTTATGCGAGAGTAAGGTCGTCAATACGAGGTAGATGGTGTGTGTTCGTCCGAGGCGCAGCCCAGTCGTAATTCATGCATGAAATCAAATCCTTGAAGGCTGCAGAGTTATGCCTGTCGTTTCCGCGTACCTTTGTACTTCTCCGGAAAGGCATACGGGGTAGAGAGATGCACCGACAAGCCGGGCCCCTAGGAGTTCCATCCAGCGGCCCGGATAGCAAGTTCCCTTTCCGTGGCAAAATCTGGGCTGCCTGCTTCGTACGAGGGAACGAAGAAAGGGGACACATTGGACCCGGCCATCTGACTTTCTCCCCGGGTTTGCAGTCAGCAATAATATCAAATCGTGTTTCCAAGCCCTCGTGTTTCGTACTGCTTATTCGGAAGCGTCTGGGCCCGGGGCATATTGTACGATAAGTAAGCAAGCCAAGGCAGTAGTAGTTGGCACGGGGCCGAGGGTATGGTTTAGGTCCGCAGCTGGTTTCCTTCCGGGCTTCAGGGACTCGGAAAGCGAAAAATGCAAAGCGGCCGACCGTAGAGAACAACCCCTCAGGCATAGTTAATCCACGGATTGAGAGAAGTCAGGTGTGAAGTGTGAGGTGTTCGCACATTGACCCGTTGAAGAGATGACAGGTAGCAACAGCGGGGGTGGTGGTGGTACAGCACATCACCACCTGAGTTCTCGCCAGGACTGTTGCTCTGGCATAGAAGGCCGCAGACATTCTTTGACCGGGGGGGATCGACCACGTCTCCAGGGAAGGCGCAGGGCGTACAGATTGTTTTAAAGAGAGCCAGGATGCGTTTCAGCCATCCGTCATCACATCGCAACGGACGGCAATAAGCCACCATCAGGCCCCATAAGCCCATGCCTCGAGAGAGGGCGTTAAGCCAATGGCCTTGGGAGTCCTCGGCCGAAGACGAGGATGGGTTGGTAATCTCCGTGAGTCGGCTTCAAGCCCGCGGGAGTTCTGTGGGCAATGGGCATAATTCCTCCATGCGGTGAAGCTCGCGAAGAAAGCCCAGAGGCACAAAGGCCCCAAGATTTGCTCAAACGGCACTTCGCATCCGACGGGCCAATTCGAGCGCCTCTCCGAGCATTGCGCAAGAAGGCAGCAGCCAATCTTCTGCCCTGCCACTCTTGGGTTCGCTAGGCGTGAGTCAAAAGCCATTTCTGATTTGATTGATTGATTATTTCTCCCGCTAGTCGATTGACAATGGGCGCTGACAAGCCCTGCGCCCTGAGACTCGCTCCTCTCTCGTACGCCCGTCCGCGTATCTACGCTGCTTGCATTTGGCTCCGACTCGGCTCACGGGGTTTACTCAACGCCCCTTAGGAATACGCACCGCACCGCAACTGTCCGGTGGAGAAATATGGTTCCCACGGCGATAATACCATGGGCTGTGTGACTCAGGCATCCGTCTGTTGAAACTATAACCTGCATAAGTAAGTTGATATAATATAGGTGCAACCTCGTGTCCGTCTAGTCGAAATCCTCTTCCCCCAGAAACCATTCAATTCCCCAAAGGAAAGGAAAGCCAGACTTACGAGTCGCCCGGCAAACGTTTTGCCATCGACCAAAAAGCCCCGACACGAACGTCCAGGTCGTAGGCCCCGTGACGACAAAAATTCATCCGAGTTTCAGCCTTCACATGTCACAGCGAGGCTCCAGCGCCCCATTGAGATTATTTGGATACAACAAAACCAGAACCCACCGCCTTCTCAGCCCAATTTTTTCTTCGTTCAGTATCCACCGCAAAACTTTTCCATTCACATAGGCACACTCATATACTGGGTGTCTCCCGACTACACTAAAGCAACCAAACAAATCCCCCCAAAAACACAATCACACCCAACAAGATGCCTCTATCAATGATGGAGCCGCTCAGCAGACCGCCGTCGCGCGACCTCACACCAACCCGACGCCTGTCCCGCGAAGAAACATATCACCTGGCCGACACCGCACGGAGGAAGTCCTCGGACAAGCTTATCCGCGAGGATCTCCGACTGAAACTCAGCCATGATCACCTGCTCGAGTTACTTCTGCAAGACATTGCGCGAACAGAGCGCGAGCGCCAAACCTCACCAACAGACGAAAAGTTCTTGATGCCACAGGAGCGAAAACGACAATTGTCATCGGAAGCACAGAGAGCTTCGGACGCCGAACTGGAATTGGTGGATGACTATGGGTTCCCGTTGGATCTGGAGGATGGGGAGGAAGACCTGGGCGGATTGACGTTAACGAGGACGAAGTCGCGAAGGCCCGTGAGATGAAACGCAGGCCATTGGATGAGGCTCCAGCACTCTACACCTGTATCCCATCTCATGGGACCCGACACGATGTACGACCACTTTGATGTTGACGACTTTTCTACTGGTTTCAAACGATACCCCCCACACAGCGAATGCGATGTCCAGCCGGGCGGATGGGCCCCCGACCCCGACTTGGATCGCACATCCAAGCTACGGCTTGCGAATAATCGAGAATGGATCTTCTGAGATGTCCCCAAATATTGAAGCGGACAATTACCCTCGAAGACCATATGGCAGGAGATGACGGACGGAAGACCGGGACTCAGAGCGGACTATTTGACGAGTATAGAGTCAGGGCTTTGGGGCGATGGGAGCGATCAGTCACAGGCTATTGGATGAGGCTTTAGCACTCTACACCTGTGTCCCGCTTCCCTCGACACAAAGAACTTGCTCTGTCCGTCTTTGGTACTCTCGAGAATCCCACGCAAATGTGTCCGAGAATGAGGAAGGAATGGGGAAGTTAATTTACAGGATGGCAGATAGTTCCTCGTCGAACTGAAGTGGATATAGAGAATAATGGAAATTCCCCCATTCAAACGGAAACAAAACGATTATCCTTATTATTCCTCTGCCCTTTGCTCTTTCTCCTTCTTGTGGAGTATATAGTCATGAGCCTCGTGTCGATCTAACCGCTGTATGATGAAAGGCTGAACAAGATTCCGTTGCAGGCGCTTTCGTGGCATTCCTGCTTACGTACCTGCGCCGCTTGTATTCAGTGTCCTCGGCCCTTGCTCTCAATTCGCGACGTTCCCATCGCATTGATAGATAGCCAGCTCTCTATCCCTCGATTCATCTATCTACCTAGCGATCCCGAGTGCTCGCAGGAGGGGTGTGTACATGCACACGGGCTTCGGGCACCACTGCTGTACGAGGCGCGGACGGGGTCAAACAGAATCACTCACCGCCGACTTGCATGACCCGCCCCTGTGCCCGGGGGACACGCAGACAAAAAGAGTGGAAACCAGAGATAGAGACATATTTCAAGCAATTGAATTCCCCTCAAGGTCCACGTTGGGAAATTTTACTCATGATCAGGATCGATTCCGGCGCGACGGAGAGGGGGGGAGGGTGAATGCAAAATCCCCACGCCTTGTACGGGCGGCGGTGTGGACATGGCGAGCATTCCGGAAGAGGTAATCGTCCCACTACTACGAGGGAGCTGGCATCTAAACGACAAGGGTCCCCCCCGTCCCGAAGCCTGAAGGTTTTGGTGGCAGCCCAGATGCAGAGTGGCACCAGAGAGGACTATGACTCAGAAAGTCTACAGTAAAATATGTCCTCCCCTTTCACTCTTCTGCTTACCTGATTATGAAAAGGACAAGACGGACAGAAACATTCTCTACGGAATTTAGTATTTGCGGAGTAGGACTCTTCAACCAGTACCTCGTAGGTGTCAAGGGTACTCGGACACAGGAAGAACGATGACTGATCCTCTCTTCGGGCCTCGTAGTGTGCTGCAGCCACCCGCCGAACTCGCCGATAAAGTTTCTCGCACCATTGGGTGGAGAAGAATGGTTGAGGAAATCCTTTTTACTCGTTCAAAGGCGCTCGCCCTTTCGGGTTTCGGCACCGAGTGGCAGAAGCCTCGGGTCACTGATTGGGACAGAGGGGCGACTGACTGATTCCTTGGACGTCGTGGATGATGTTGGGGAAGTCCATTTCCGTGTTGGTTGGGTGAAAATTGAGATTTTTGGTGGAGCTGGACGTCGAAGGGGATGGCAAGAATCGAGATGGGTGCTGAAGTGTTGTTGTTGAGGAGTCGGAGTCCCATGTGAAATTTCAGGTATACCCCTCCTGTGGTGCCTACCTAGATACCATCCCTACCAAGACCGAGAACGAGGAGGATCGAAACGCCGGATTCATGCATCTCATTCCTTGATAGGGCGAAACAGACTGGCGTCTACCCTACGAGGTTTGTCGTGGCCCGGAGCCAAGGAGACAAGCCCGATCAGGGTGGCCGCTTGATCGTTGATCCACAGCGGGGACGAGAGAAACGAATACTCGATGGACTTTTACCCGTCCCAGACATACCGTGGCCCGGATAAGCGGCCCATCGCTGGAGGCGATCGAGCCGTCCTTCCGCCTCTTTGTCCTCGTACGACTACAAGTACAAATAGACAGAAACAGGACCTCGGCTCGATCGTACGGGACTAGCGATTCTTGAAACAGCACTGATGCGCATTTTGGAAATCCCATGGCTGGCCAGATCGAGACGGAGCCAAGCAGGTTGCGAGTGAAGCATCCCGCATGGCGCTTCATGTGATCGGCCATAAGAGCGAGCAGGCAAGTTCACATCTCAATAGCAGCCCAGAGGAGGTTGTCCGGATGTCGAAATGGGTAATGTGTCATGGCAGGGGGCCCCTACTGGTGCAAAGAGGGTTTCTCTCCGTGCCAACATCGCCGGCTGATTGCATCCCTGAGTAGTCGGTGACCTGTGTAGCCAGTTGCAGCGGATTGGAGAAGACACGACAAACCACCAATCAGATACTTGAGTTGTTGTCGCGAGGTTCAAGAATCCGTTTTGAGGAAAAGACGTGCCTACTTACTGAGCAGAGCGGGGGAGGCGGTGTATTTCCATTCACCACTACTCCCACGTCTTCGACAGCGCTGATGCCCACCTGGACAACGCCATTCAGACGTACAGTGATCCTGACCAGCCCCCACAATGAAGCTATAGACCCTTGTGATAATGCAGTCTTCTGCAGGTCGGGTTTTTCTCGGGCACTGATTTCAGTCCTTCGGACATGGAATGCTGTGATTTACCAGTGATTCAGATCGCAACGACTGGCAAACCTCTTGAATCATCAATCTCCCGTGGTGTTGACGCTCCCAGTCCCCCTCTTTTCCCCGGGCAAGCGGAGACGCCTTAAGCGTCCGAAGTCGCAGGAAGTTGACGGACACCCCGCAGTTCGTTGCTAAGGACCGCTCTTTGCTCAGACATCGCAAATTCACTATCGTCTCATTTCAGTTTTTTTGCTCTATGACTGCAAGGGATTATACGCTTTAGAGGAGACGTGCGATCTCCTCTTCGCAGCCATCGTGGGGTCTCAGAGGCAGACACATTCTTTGAAGTAGAGTAACTCTGTGATAACAGAAGCAGATCTAAAAGAGGAGCCACGGAAGGAGCGCAAGGCGTGCAAGGCTGAGATTGTCACTGGTTGTCGGCAAACCTTCCAGAATTTCTGGTTAAACTTCGGCTCTTTGTCGGGAATCTCGACGCTTATTTCCGACAATCCGCGTCGTTGCTCTCGCTGCAACCTGACAACTTCAATCCACAGCTCAAAGATGGCAGGTCGCCATGGACGGTGAGTCAGTGTCTCTGTTTATATGGGCACATAGAGCAGTCCTACGCTTCTCGCGCCCGCCAAAACCATCCACAACCTAGTTGATACTGCTGCAAGGAGCCCTCCCACTTTTCACCATACTCACCTGCGTAGACACTCACAATGGCTCTCATCCGCATGTACCAGGAGTCGGACAAGGACGCAATGATCCATATCGTTCGTTAGCCAGTCCAACAGGTCAATGATCATGTTCTAACAGGAGTCTAGTTCCGTGAAACCGCCGCGCCAGATCTACGCAATGCAGGTGACCCAGTTCTGCATTATGCCTCATTCCTCTGGTGTCGACCCTACCTAATGCTAGAGCCCGAAAGCTGCTTCGTTCTCGATGATGGTAACGGTCTTGCAGTAGGCTACCTGCTCGGTGTCCCCAACACCGCGTCATTTGTACAAAAGTATGAGGAGACATATATTCCGTACCTACAATCACAGGGGTTTGAAAAGCCGGGGCCGGACGAGCAGACTGGCTGGGATGAAAACCTCCCAAACGCACTGAGACAAATCATGTTCAACCCTCGTGCGATGCTCCACACCCAATATCCTCAGCTGATGGAGCAATGGCCGGCGCATATGCATATCGATATACTAAACCCATATCAAAAGCAAGGCTGGGGTCGGCGTTTGATCGAGCGGTTTTGTGGTGCGGCTAAAGAGCAAGGCGCAAGAGGTCTTCATCTGCTTATGGCAGCAGCGAATGAAGATGCCGGGAGATTTTATCCTCGCGTAGGATTTTCTCGTTTCCCCTTTGTGATCGATGGCGGTGTCAGCGGCGAGGAGGGCAGAGATGTTGGAACCATCTGGTTCGTCAAGTCTCTCTAGGAGAGCCAGAGAGGCCATGGATTACATCCACCTTCAAGTTCCAGCGATCTGGAAATATCTAATCACGTCACTGGTTACCCTACGATCTCCAACCTCCCTTGAGATCGGAGGAAAGCCGCGGCGTGGAACGCGCGTATCGAGCGCCAAAAGTTTGATGTATTTTGCATCTCATTCTCGTTCCTGGATTATCAATCAGATCCCAACCGCGCAACACATGGCATGCTTGACTATCATCTCACAGAGCCTTTTCTATGATCGGAAGTGTCTCAGTTTGGAAAGCCTAAGCCGTTTGGGGTGATTTCTCGTTCATTTTGTAAACATCTTCTGACTTGTATTAGCATACAACAAAGATAAGCGCTAGCCCATGCTAAGCAGAGATGCCGACACCCGACACACTCCAGAAGTATGGAGTATGGAGTACTCTGCACAAACCAGCACTCGTTCTTCCATTGGAAACAAGGTCTCTCCCGCGGCTAGCGGAGCCGATGGCCTCTGACGATGGCCCATTTGTGTATCGCTGGCGAGATGTGTAGGATTCTCATCTCGTGTGGAAACCAAACGTCGCAGCCGTGCGTGAGCCTCGTTCTCAGGCGGCCGATTTCCTGTGGATCTGATATCTGGTCCACACAAGGACGGACCTGTCTTTTCTTGTTCGAGAATATCTCTGTCAGGCCATTAAGATCACCTTTGGTGCTGATCTCAGCTCCGCGATCCCAAAGTGTCCAGTATTTATACCATGAATTGATCATAAAGAGGTTCCATGCTTCTCGTTCACTGCCGACCCTCCCCTTTGCTAACGCTTCTATCAACGTAGCTCAGACAGTACTCGGCATCATCCCCTTTCATTCAAAAGCACAGAGTTGGTGATTAGGGCGCTCGTTCCTCTTCCAGTGCTCGTTTGACTTTTGGCCTCAGCAGCACCGAGGTTAAGTAGCTCTGGTTCCCCTCCTCTGAGCAAGAACTAGCACGTACCACGCCATCCTGGTTTCGCGAAATCCTTTCATCTCGATTAATCAGTCATGGTCTTTTTCGCGTCCGGGGCGGCCCCAGAGATACCCAACAAAGACATCTGCTCGTGGATCTTCGATGAGCCAAAATACGATGTCAACAAACCAGTGAGTATACCTGTACACCCCGGTCCCGTGTCGCATCGTCTGGAGAAATGGCCTTTTTGCAATTCATTCTTGCTTACGGCACAAACGCTCAGATCTTCATCGATGCATCGAACACAAATCGCTCCCTTTCACACCTGCAAGCCCGCACGATCATTCGCCAGTTGATTGGCGGTCTGCGAAAGGCCGGCGTGAAAAGGGGTGATTGTGTCCTCATCCACTCCTTCAATGACATTTACTATCCAATACTCTTCCTTGCCATTGTCGGGGCCGGAGCAGTGTTCGCTGGGACGAATCCAGGCTACACCCCTCTCGAATTGCGGCATCATGTTGGCATTACCCAGGCCACTTTTCTCATTAGTGAACCCGAGCTGCTTGATTCGCTAATGCAAGCTGCTAAGGATATGAGGATCCCCCAGTCTAATGTCCGCGTTTTCAACACACAGCCCCACCAGTCCGTACCGGAAGGATTCACCAGCTGGACAGACTTGATGCAGCATGGTGAAGAAGACTGGGTGCGCTTCGACGATCTTGACACGTGTGCAAACACGACGGCTGCTCGATTGACGAGCTCTGGAACAACGGGCCTGCCCAAAGCCACCATAACTTCGCACCGGAACTTGATCGCTCAACACGAGCTCTGCTACAGTCCAATGGTGTACAACAAGCCCTACGAAGTGGTCAATCTGTACCCGACCCCCATGTTTCACGCCGCAATCGCGCCTCGCTGTCACACTTCGACGCTGAAGCTCGGAGAGAAGGCGTACGTCATGCGGCGGTTCGAGCTGGAGCCCTTCTTGGCCAACATCGAGAAGTTCAAGGTCACCGAGTTCTACGTGGTGTCGGCCATGGCCGTGGCCATCGCCATGTCTCCGCTCATCAAGAAGTACTCGCTGAAGTCGATCCGGCACGGCCTGGCCGGCGCGGCGCCCCTGAACAAGGAGACCCAGGCGGCGATCAAGCCGTACCTGGGCCCCGACGCGCCCTTTGCGCAGGTCTGGGGCATGACCGAGACGACGTGCATCCTCACGCAGTTCCGGTGGCCCGAGGATGACGTGACCGGCTCGGTGGGCCGCGTGATCCCCGGCATGGACCTGAAGCTGGTCGACGACCAAGGGGGCGACATCACGGGCTACGACGTCGTGGGCGAGATGTGCGCCCGCGGGCCGACGGTGATCCGGGGCTACTTCAACAACCCGGAGGCGAACCGGGAGTCGTTCGACGCCGACGGGTTCTACCGCACGGGCGACATGATGTACTGCGACGGCCGGACCAAGCTGTGGTACGTGGTGGACCGCAAGAAGGAGCTGATCAAGGTGCGCGGCTTCCAGGTCGCGCCGCCCGAGATCGAGGGCGTCCTGCTCACGCACCCGGACCTCGTCGACGCCGCCGTCATCGGCGTCCCCGCGGCCTCCGAGCTCGACGGCGAGGCCCCCCGCGCCTACGTCGTGCGCCGACCCGGCGTCGACCCCGGCCGTCTGACCGACAGGGACGTCTACGACTGGGTCGCCCGGCACCTGGCCAGGTACAAGCGGCTGGAAGGCGGGGTGCGGTTCGTGGACGTGATCCCCAAGAACGCGAGCGGCAAGATCCTGAAGCGCATCTTGAGGGAGGAGGCCAAGAAGGAGAGCGCGGCATCGAAACTCTAGACGTGGAATCTCCACGAGTGGACTACATACCCCGGTACGTGTATATATTGAAGTAGAGTCGGGCTTTCCAAATCGAGAGAAGAGATGAAAATAGTCCAATGTGAGTGGGCATGTCATCCCCGACACCGATCCTCGATTTCTTCCCCAAGGCTCGCATTTCGAGCATCTCTCGTTCTCTTGTCCACAGGCCATTCGTCCACTAGCGCGATCATTGAAGCCAGAAATACGCAGGAAGTTGTAACAACTCGGCTTTGACACAGGTATGTTTCGTGTCTCGGCACGAGGCTTGGGCAAGGTTTGGATACTTGACGGCGGGATTACAGCTGTGAAGTCTCGTCCCCGGACCTTTGTTCGAGAATGACAAGGACATTGTTCATCCCCGTTGACGTGGGTTTGGGCCATGTGTGGAGATTGAAATGATTATTTACTCAAAAAAGTATGAAAAAAGGGGTAGGCCCGCCTCATAAGATGCTTTTCTTGGGGGGGTCCCGTCCCGCAATGTCGGAAACGACAGGTTTATATTAGGCACCTTCCACGCATACTGGAACAAATTGACATGTGTATACAGGACACAGATACAACCACAACCACAACCACAACAACAACAACAATGGGAGTTTGCCTCTGAACCTAGCCCAGCGCTTCAAAAACAATACAAGGACAAAGAATCCCGCGCCCACTCCCCTGCATGTGGATCTTCCATGCGTGGATTCCATCCCGAAAAAGCAAAAGTCCTCTCAGCGTTGAATCGTTAACATTCGTCCTCTTCCCACCACCCATACTCGGTGTGGACAGCGGTCTTGACTGGGTTTCGACCGATCAGGTAGATGCATCAACAACACAAGCATGGCTTCTCAGCCGATGGCTTTTTGGAACAGTTTGAGGGCCCGTGGGAGGGGTGTCTCGTCGAATTCCGGGGGGGCGGGGGAACACAATAACTATCTCGGGGGACCCACGTCGGTTGTTTTCCTGACTTTGTTTGCGGGCCCCTCTCGCACGAACATGACACACCCCCGGTAGCCCATCCAGCGTCACGAGTGCAGGGGTACCGTCGCGCCCGCGCTCGACAAGAAGCGGCAGTCGCAGAAGCTTTGGCGCAGGACCTCGTTCCTCAAGGCGACGACCTCGTCGTGCAGGGCCGAGACGAGGGAGGTCTGCACGTGCAGTTTCTCCTCCTCCTTGCGGCACCGCTGCTGGAGGTGCTCGATGAAGACCTTTTGCCGGTTCCGGCACTTGGTCGCGGCCCGGCGGTTCAGCTCCAGCTCGCGGGCGTGCTTTTCAGAGCGCGGGGCGATGCGGCCGGTCGTGCTCTTCTTCCGCCGCGCCGGGGTGTTTCGCGGCCGGTACGCGTCGTCGTTCAGCTCCACCGACGCCAGGGACATCCGCCGGAGGAGCTGCTGGTGGTGGCTCAGCGAGACGGGGCTGCTGGTCGCCGAGTCGATGGAGGCCGTCCGGCCCAGCTGAGAAGTTTGGCTTGCGGGCGAAGTCGACCCCGAGGGGTCGCCGGGGTGGAGGTCCCGAGGCTGGACAAACTCGGGCGGAGCCCGTCTTTGTGGGACGAGGCCCGCTGAAGGGGCTCCCGCGGCCGGGAAGAAGAGATCACTGTCGCTGAAAATGGGCGATTCTTGGGTTTGGCCTTGATCATACAGGATTTCGGGGCATAATGCAAACTGCCAGGCGTTGGCGTCGTCTGCGAGGGCAGGCGAAGTCGTAAACTCGGTGTTTAAAGTCATTGGGGTCTGGTCTCGATATGGTCCAAACAAATTGACGACTGTTCAGAGCGGTGATCATGAATGATCGCAGAACGCTCTTGTATAGCTTGATGCAGCCCATATTTGGGGGGATTGAACACGGGATATGATGTAGGAGACCTTTGCGACTTTCGTCACCACCCCCCCTCCCCCCGGGACAGAAATCCTGCCACGAAGTGGGGATCTCTGATCCAATTGATTGAGATGTCGAGGGGGGGGGGTGTGTCTGGGTATTTGGGGACGAGGTTGCATAGCTTTTGCAGGGGAAAGGAATGGCTGCATTGATCAGGGCGTGGAGTAGGCGTGGCAAAAAGTATCAAGGGAGGGGGTATTACTTCCGCTAGCTATTTAGCAGGATCTGGAAAAGACCAGGCCCGGAGAAAAGAGCCGCGATCGACAATGCTCTTTTGGGCGGCCTCCACAACCACCCTGGATTTCGTCCTGCCTGTGTAACCTCCGTGCCTCCCAAAGAGGCTGATCCTACCTGGAATACGTGAAGGTCTGCAGCAGATTGCCGCGGATCATTTCTCGCGTGCATATCAATTGGTGCAACACGGCATTCAGGAGAAAGTTATTTCCGGGGCGAATGAGTTGGGGCAACGGACACGCTCCTCGGCCCCCAATTGTCTCGGCGTCCAAGCACGGTATATATGACATGGCCGGTGACAATGGACGAGTGGGGCACGTCATCAGCGATATCTCCCAAAGCCCACCAAATCTCCCATATCCGGCGCAATGCACAAAGCCAACATGCCCTGTGCCTATATCGACTGGAAACTGACAGAGGGCAACGTTAAAAAAAAAGTGAGGGGCGGAAAACCCCGCTGTGTCTCCACCAAGGACACTTGACACCATTTCCCCGATTCCAAACCCGTGCTCCCATTGGTCATGACTACAGCAGGTTATCCACCAAGCCACTAAAAGCGGGCCAGGCCAAGGATCTCAAGGAGACCCAACTCTTTCATCTGCATCAAGTCCCTGTCACTTGGCCACTTCCTGGCACAGCGGTTAGTTGAAATAGGTAAGTGCTTGAGATCTCGACGACGAACTTCCAGAGGCCACTAAGGACATTGATTCGTACTCAGGCCCTGTCAGGCCATCTCACACTGTCCTCAGACCGTGGGCGCCACGGCTACTTCGGCCTGGTCTATCTGTTCTCCAACTCCCCCTCGCTCGTCGCATCCCCTGATGCGCTCCAAGGCTCTTCCGACGTCATCCTGCAGGCATCTTCTAGGGCCTGAGTGGCCGTGATGCCGGAAAATGATGCAGTCTCGACTGAAGAGAATTGTTCCGGGTGCTAGTGGCGCTGTGAACCTGTCACGACCAGGCTCCTGGCCACCCCGTGGTACCCGCTTGGTGGGATTGTTGTGCGCAAAACCTGCAGATATTGCCTCCATGTTTAGTTGAAGATACCTATTAGCTGCCAAAAGCGAATGCGCCCGCCGTAAAACCGGGGCCGCACGTCTCTTCAGCCCTGCTCACGAGCGGGCCATGACAACAGATGTGTGGAAACCTTGGTTGGCTGGGTTCGACTCACTCCTAGCCACGCGTGGCGCGATTTGGATATCAAGTACACGAACCCCTGCGCCCACAAACCTCTGGCTTGCAACGACTTGCCTAGGCTACGTGTTATCACTACTTGTCAACAACAATCATGAAGGCCCTGAAACCAGCGCCCAAGCTGAGTGGCAACACCAAGACGACGTCCAAAACAAAACGCACAACTTCTCGTGGCAGGACTTCGCGGGCGTGAGTTCTTTCCCCGTTTTCCAGGAGCATTTGTTCTTGCGGCTTTGATGTCTGGAGTCTTGGATAAAATGTGCTGATGTTGGGGTGTTTTATAATACAGATGCGATAGGTGCAGGATCAAGAAGGCAAAGGTTATTTTGCGTCAAATTCTATTCTGCTGGACTATTTGCGCTGATTCCCCAACAGTGCGATGGAGATCAAGCATGCAAACTCTGCAGAGCTACCGACAGCGCGTGTGTATACTCGGCCAGAAGGCGAGAAGCGAGAAACTAGTGAGTGAGAGAGCGTCTACATCCCCCCCATGCCAAAAACTCGCAAAACGCGGCTAACCTGGGGGGTTTTTTTTCCCTTAGCTACTATCAAATGCGCGAGGTCACCGATGTCGCCCTGCAGAGACTCTATTGGGCCTGTCGAAGAAGGACCGGCTTTCCGGGGGACATCCCAGACGAGTCTCAGGGAGAGGTCTCGACGGCCGACATCCTGAAGGGGCTCGGCCTCTTGACGCCTGATCTCGACGACCCAACCTTTCTGGGCGAGGTCGGACGATCGACGCCCTTCTTCCACGCCAGCAAAGGGCAGAGGCAGGGACATATCCAGAGCACGACCGCGCGCCGCGAGGGCGAGGAAGTGGAGAAGCGATCGGTTGCCTCGACCGATTCTGCGTCCAGCAGCCCGCGCACATCCAATGAGCGGGTGCTGGCGACGAGCACCACCAACACCAGCACCAGCATCAGCCTGCCCCTGGAATCTGAGGTTCACACGCCGGCCGAAGAGATGGACATGAAGGCGCAGTTTGTGCTGGCGTCCTCGCTCTCGCCCGCGCCACGCACGTCCGGGCCCGCGAGGACACGGGCGTTTCCTTCTCACGACGCACAGGCGTTCTTTCACGGGCCGCACGCCGTGGACCCGGAACCGCAGCTGGACGTCGACGCCTTTCTCGACATGAGTCTGTGCACCGCGCCGACGACGCAACCAATCCCCTCGTTTTACGGCCCGTCAATGTCCTTCAGCGTGCCGACGATGGCCACCCTGCATCAATTCCCCTACGGACAGGCCCACCACCCTGCGCGCCACCCCATGTTCGATCCCTAATTGCCGGCATGGCCCCGGTCCACCGCTGCCACTCGTCGATCGGGGGCGCTGGGATGACCACGGTGTCAAAATGCTTCTCGGTTTTTTTTGTTGTTTTCGGTTTTTTTTTTTTTTTGGTTTTTTACCCCCTCTCTAGCCTTGGTTTTCTGATCGGTTCGGACGAGAGCCTCAATAATTTCCACCCCTGCTGGAGGGGTGAATGACCATGGGTTGGTCTATATCGTCGATGTAAAAGCTATCGTGTTGGAGAAGGTGCACAGGCGTTGGCGGACTATTTCATCTTCTCTGGAATAGTGACTATTTATCCACCACCGGGAGATTACTTCTATCTAGTCCTCCTTGCGGACTCTGTGCAAAAAATGCCTTTACTGCTGGCTGTAGAGGGTCAAATGGGAGGAATCGACTCTGTATACTCCGTCTACAATCCTTTGTCACCCGATATCTATAAGATGTGTGTGTGGACTGTCCCGGTCACTCCCCAATAATCTCTCGTATAAGCCAGAGCAGAAGACCAGCACATGGGGATCGGTGCTGGGAGACTCCTGAAAAGGCAACAACTCCTGCATCGGCTCTCCTTGGACCATCAACTTCGCCAATACGTCCCACTTGCTCGCACCTCCTCCCCTCCCAACTCGGGCAGTGGCTCGCTTGGAAGAGCTGCAAGTTTTGTGTTTTGCTAGCGGGACAAGAAGGTTCAGCACCACCCGCCCGAGTTCCGCGGCTAGAATATCCGAGCATCCATTGAGGCGCATTGAGACACAGTGAGGCGTCTGACGAGAATTCCCCTCCGTGATCTCCACCGGATCAGCAGCCCGGTCGCCCCAATGTCGCAGTGAAGACGATCACTTGGGCGCTGGGTTGCCCTATGCCACCGTGCGCTCTTGTACTTTCTACAGGGTGATATCGAAAGCGAGGATGTGTGCTCAGTTGCGCGGAGAAAGGCAAATATCTCGGTATATCCATGGCGAGACAGTGAGGCTCGACGGAAAACAGCCCCTGGAGCAATTTCACTGGTCGGAGAATACAATCCAGCTTATGACCACCCTGGTCGTCGCCTCCCTTGCATGTATTGGAAGCAAACATTGCCAGCTGCACGGACTCTGAAACCATCTCGCTTATGCGGCCCATAGACGTCAACGGACATCCCTTCCAAAGGCACATAACTGGTGGCCTGTCATTCATGTTGACCCCACCAGCCATGGCCTTTTAACTTTCCCTAAGGACATGTTCTGTGCTGCGGACGGCACGCCCAAGCCCGTAAGGTCTGAGGGCCGCAAACATGTATGCACCTCCAACGAAGCTACTTGGAGCGACGCGCAGTTCAAGACTGTTCTTTCGTTCCCCCAATGCGGAGGATCTGTGCACCTGGTGATTGAGAGCTGAGGGGCTTGACGCAGAGAGCCTGTGAGACCGGAAAAGACAACCGCTGGTGTTGTTAAACCTGTGTCGATACCAGAAGATCATTGACCCACCGAGTGCCCCTCGATATCGCTATATGCGAGGAAATCGGTGCTGCTTATTTCGTTGGCATGATCATCTGCTGGCCCTCTGGTACATGTGCCAATGCCCTTTCACCGCTGTGCGGAAGCGAATTTGGACAGTCGACTGAATGCCTGCGACATCTGAGTGCCGATTGCGTTCGGGCGCTAGTGACTGGGCCAGAGAAGGCTGACTTCCGTCCAGATGGTCTGGCCGTTCCTATGGCCGGCAATGTTGGATTTTTCGATGCCCACCAATAACAAAGCGGCAGCTCTAACACTATGTGAGCGACATCGGTGACTTCGCGGACAGCCTATATATTCGGAGGATCGATTCCGCTGAATATTCTCGGTCTTTGGAGTGTGGAAATTGCCCATCTTCGTCCATTCACTCCAATCTCGTGTTCTTGGTTTTGAACCCAGGCCAAATATCCTTGACTGTGGGTTCCATGTGACTCCTCGTCTTGCCAATTCCCAAGCGAATGACGATGGAGGCTCACACGTCGTAGAGTGAAACATGTCCGATATGCTGAATATGAATCATGCAAACTTCACAAAGCCACCAAGAAATTCGACCTCGAATCAACGCAATCGCGTCGCGAAGATGCTACCACCTTTTCGGGGCAGAGAGCATTGTACGTGAAAATGAGGCACTCGCTTGTTCGAGCTTCTTCTGTCTTTCGCGTGCCACTAGGCCCGTGCGGTCGGTCACCGGCGTCGCATTTGCAATCTGGTCAAAGTCGTCGTAGTCTTCCTCGGCAGAGCCTGATTCTGCGTCCGAATCAACCAACTCCCGCGGCTGTCCTGTCGATGGGAGTGTCATTCTGGTATCGCTATTATCGATTGCCTCGCTTTTGGGCGGCTGTATGTCCTTCTTTGGGGGCTCTGCAGGGAAGTTGTCCGTGAATGGCTTGGAGGCGAGGATCTTGCGGCGGATCTCAGCCATCTCAGCCTCTTCGTCTTCATCTTCTTCGTCAGGGGGGAGGTCCAGAGGTACGCCTTGCTGCAGTGGGCCGTGCTCATTATCTGCCTCCGAATCGGCATCTTCATCTTCTTCAGCCTCTTCGTCGTCAGACTCGTAGACCTCCCTCCTATTCATATTCCCCCCAGCCCAGTCATCTTCTCCACCAGCGGGATCTTTGTTGACTCGGCTGTCTGCATACTCTTTCTCTAGCTTGGCGAGCCACTTTTCCTCGGCCTTCTTGATGTCCTCTTCGTTCTGACATGCGGCGTACCGCTTGAAAAGTTGAGAGTTTATTTCGAGAAACGGTTTGCCATAGGGAAAATGCTGTAGGATGATCTCGGCCCAATCGTCATGCCCACAAATGCAAAAGCATGCGGCAAGGGCTTCGACACAGTTAAGCCTCCACGGCCTCCCGTAGTTGACGGGGTTGGCGGCGACAAGATAGGGCAGAAGCCGTTCGCATTTCCCGCCTATCCGTGAAAAGGGAACTTCCTGTACCCTGACCCAAGAACATTCCACCACCGCGGCGCCATGCTGTTCGAGTAGTTCTCGGTCTGCTGGTGATAAGATCTGCTTTGCGTTGGGCCTGGACGGTTTGTCAGCGTGACGAAGGAGCGTTGAAGAGACATTCACTCACGAGATGACTACTCCAGGAAATTTCTGACCCACAGCTAACTCTCGCATCATGCCGAAATGCATGAGTCTCTTGCCGCTGCAGCGCTTTGAGTCACAATGACCAAAATCCCAGCATGCTGCTTTGAAAGGCGGGCGCTCAGGAATGGCATCGTCGTCGCCACCTTCTCGAGGATCGCGTGTCGAGCGAGGGGTATGCCGCGATCTGGTAGAAAACTTCTTGGACTTGGAAGAGGAACCGTCTTTCTTATGGCGTACCATCGTGACGATGTAGCAGGCAGACCAGATCCAAGTCGAGGTAGTGGCGGAAGAGGTGGGCTTGTCTCTTTTGCGTTTGTTGGTGACTTCCGACGAAACGTTTTCTCAACCGTATCGATAAGAAGATGCCAAGCTCTTCTCACTATCGCCACGTGACATTCCGAGGTTCTTCCGAAATCTCCAATTCGCTGCACATTTGCTTCGCATCCCCCCAACTCTTCAACGCAGCTTTGACAGAGAATTAGCAAATATGGGCTTAGCTGTGCTACCACCAGACTCTGAGGAGGAGATTGTGCAACCCGATGTGTACGAGGATGAGGAGGACGGTGATTCCTCAGAGCACGAATATGGCGGACGACCGTCAAAACGCCGCCGACTGTCATCTTCATCCAGACAGATAGCGCTGCCCGGAGAAGTAATTACTGAGGATACGCAATGGATGAGGTGGGTGAGAATAGGTCTGGTGCGAAATCGAGGGAAAAAGGTCCACTGACACAGTCTTAGGGGACATGGTACCTTCATGCCTGAGCAATCAACCACCATGATCGCAACCCTTGCGGGCCCGCTCAAAAAGACGAACAAACTCCTTTCAGTCGCCCCTCTCCGCGCAAGATATACGCCGGAAATTGGCGACCTGGTTGTCGGCCGGATAGTGGAAGTTCAAAAGAACCAGTGGAAAGTGGACGTTGCGGCACCATTATTGGCACAGTTACCCTTGTCGTCCATCAATCTCCCCGGAGGTGTGCTGAGGCGCCGCACAACCGCCGATGAACTGCAGATGCGGAATTACTTCCAAGAAGGAGATCTACTCGTTGCGGAAGTTCAACAACTGAGGAGCAGTGACGGGACGGCAAACTTGCACACTCGAAGTCTGAAATACGGCAAGCTCCGAAATGGCATGTTCCTTGCGGTGACTGGGACCGGCGGCGGCGGCGGCGTCGTTCGCAGCCGAAGACAAGTCTTCACGATCAACAGCGGCGCCCAAGGTGGCGGAGACGTCAACGTCATCCTCGGGGTGAACGGATACATCTGGCTGAGCAAGCACATGGAACAAGCCGAAGACCAGGGCAGGATGAGCGGCGGTGTCAGCATTTCCAATCTCGACGACGTGGTCAGCAGTGCCATCTACTCGAGCCAAAACGACGATATTGGAGAGGGCACCAGACGGGAAATCGCGCGGATCTCAGAGTGTATTAAAATTCTGGCCGAAGATGGGGTCAGGGTCGACGAGGACAACGTGCTCAAGGCCTACGAAGCTGCCGTTGATGCCGAAATGAACGTCATGACAGACCAGGAAGCCGTCGCTACCAGTTTCAGCGATGAAGTCAGGAAGAGGATCCTCGATGCAGCTCTCCATTGATTTTGAGCGCTTGACAGAGACGACTGTAGCCCCGTCAATGAACCAGATGATCAACCTAGGTCAGCGAGATACATGTGGTGGGGGATCATAGCCCTGCTCTCGATTTTCATCCTTGTGCGCGAGACGCAGGTACGTATTTCGGACGAGCGTTAGGAGACCGGGCAGATGCCTTGTCCATCAGGACAGCCTCGCTGCAGGGGCTACTACGAGTGCTCGTAGGCTTTCGTGAAGGTCTAGCCCCGGACCACAGGTACAGCTTGGCGCCTGACGAATACTCCTGTACTCCGTACTCCGTACTAGGTTTCCTGACCCTTTGGAACCTGATTTGCCAGGATTCTCTGCTGATGGGAGGCTCGGCTGGGATTTATGGTGCGACCGTATGATCTCCAGCGTCTCAAGCGGTCCTTATCGTCTCAAGTCGACGGGATTTAGTGTTGTGAATAGAAGAGGGAGGAGGGAAGAAGATCTAAGAGAGGGAGAGAGAGAGAAACCGAAAAGGCTCAGGTATCCAAGACTCCAGAAGCACTCAGGGATTGCTCAGGAAGCGAAAAGAAAATGGTGAGCTGAGGAAGAGGCAAAGCCTCAAGCGACTGACAATAAGGGAAGATAGAGGATGGGCTCTTCGCGTCATCCTACTGTTTATGGACGTGTACATACCTAGGAAGGTAGGTAGTAGGTAGGGAGGTAGGTAGTAGGTAGGGAGGTAGGTAGTAGGTAGGGAGGTAGGTAGTAGGTAGGGAGGTAGGTAGTAGGTAGGG